GACTTAATGGTCTTTTTAGGGATCCATCGGTCACAGGCTGCATCAAGAACTCCTCTGAATCGACTCCAGGCAAGATAAGGATCATTACACTCAAATATACTATCCCAATCGATGCTAAATAACTCAGAATTCAGGCCCCTAAAATTACCTTTACTATAATTAAAGATCTTTCTTTTAGGCTGCTTAATATACTTGGTCTTAACATCAATGTCAAATGTGATACAAAAGTGGTCGGATATACACATTTCGTTTTGATCTAAAACTTTAACATTCTTAATAAGGTTCTGAATGTTAGTGAACACAAGATCTAAGGTGTTGCCTGACTTGTGAGTAGGGGAGCTAATAAGTTGTGTATGTCCGAGGTCATCAGTGAGAAAATTTACAAAGCTGGAATGTAGCTGGCAAGATGACTGACCATCTGGCCAGGAAATCGAAGCTAAATTAAAGTCCCCTACCAGAATGTGTCTTTGCAACTTTCTGGCAGATGCTAACGTAACAAAATGTTTCTTGAAAGATTCAAAATTATCTAAGCCAAGTGTTCCTACTCTATAGAATGTAGATATGCAAAAGTTTCTTCCACACTGAGTCTTAATTATGACTGATAATAATTCAGCTTGAACACTAACCTTTGAGAACTTTAGACTCGAGATATCAATGTCTGTTCTATGGGCAATCAGAACACCACCACCGTTTTTTCTGAATTTCTTGGGCTGGGTTGCATCCACTGGATGCGATCTTAAGGATCGATCAAGCCTAAATACTTTGTATTTGTCAGGGAGCACCTCATTACTGAGAATGGAATTTTTCAGCCATGTCTCGTTTAGAATAATGATGTGAGGCTTATGTTTGTAGATATAACCATGGAATTCATGTATCTTGGTCATATTTAGTGGTGGTGTTCCTGATGCTAGATCACGGGTATTAAGGAAACCATGGACATTATTGTAAACAACAGATAAATTTGGTCCAGGGTTCAGTAAGGAACAATTACAAATTACTATCAGGGAAATATTAAGGAGAGATAGAAAAACCAGACCACACCTAGACATGACCCCAAGCGAGCTGCTGGTAATATTAAAAAGCAACTTAACAGTCTGTTTCGGTGACATGGTAGGTGACAGTTCGGTTTTTGTGGTAGATAGCAATTTTACAGAAATTGCAGCTAAGGCTGTCCCAATGCCCCTCTCCCCCCTGTACACAAGTTTAAAGTGTCTGAGAAAAATGGTACAAAAGATTACCATAAAGTAAAGATTTATGGATGACCTCAAACATGGTACAGAGTGTATTTTAGGTTGGAGGGGAGCACTAGGGAGTATATTAGCATCGATAGTCAGAGAAAATATATACAAAATAACATAAAAATAAAATAGACCCAATAGAGCACATAACATATGACGAGACAGAAGACAGGACAACAAATTTTCCCCGTTACCTCTATTACTTTTACTGATGATAACATACCTAGAAAACATACCAGTTGCAACACGGTGTTGTTGAGCCGATATTCCCATGGAACTTTTAAGTATATTATTAACAGAATTGTGTCTCGCCGTTGTGTTTTGTTAGGTATTGTGCTATAATATGAAGTAACATACATTATGCTATCACTTCGTTTGAATACATATAAATAACATCCAAATGATCAGATCCAATAGGATACTGATGCAGACAATGAAAAATTGAAATATTGAATTGGATTACCACATCAGTATCCCATTGGATTAAACCACTTTGAGTGTATGATTCTGAGATAGAACTTTGCCAACACTGGCATCCCAGCCTTGGGGCTGGGATGAATATCATAAAAGCCCCTATTGTCACACTTAGGAAATAATCTCTCGTTTCTGTTTCCATAGCGGTCTAAGAATGCCCAAAAAACATCAAGGTAAAACAGTTTATGCCTAGAGCAGCGATCAAAGATCAAATTATTCATAGCACAAACATTACCAGGGATTTTCTCTTGTCCGTTGGGGTGGACTGGTGGAATAGCTTGTACAAAAACACGTGCATTTGGATAAAGTTTTTTTGCTGTCTTCATAAGGTCACTCACAGGGGTCTTGAGATGATTGACCCCCTCGGTACAGTACCGGATGTCGTTGGCACCGAAGCTTAAGAACAGTTTCTTTACCTGCACAAGAGGGTTCTTTGTATGAAAGGCCTCAATAGATTTCTGTATAGCTGAGATCTTAAGCCCACCCTTAGCTATGTTTGTGACAGTTTCTTTACCTCTACTGAGGCGATCAGCGTCCAATCGAGCAGCAAAGGAGTCACCAGCAATAAGAATGATGGACTTCTGATGTTTTTGAGAGTCTGTGATGGGGGCTTTTGGGGATACTTTATTAGGACTGTCGGATGTAGGAGAGGGAAGAATAGGAGATGAAGGGGAAGAGGAAGAGGAAGGTGTGGTTAACTTTCTGAAGGAGAGACTATACCTCCAACAAGTTTCATTGTCAGAAGGTGCAACTCCTGGGGCAATCCTGTGCCTCATGACTTGCTGTGCACCAGGCTTCATGATGTTCAGTGTGCCATTGGTGGCAGGGAGGGTGAAGTCTGCGTTAATCAACTCTTGGGCTGGCCTTGACCTAGAGGCCCTAGTTGTGCGTTTTTCTACTTGGGTTGTATCCAGTACAAACTCAAGTGACCGTGGAGCCCCTATTGAGTAAGTGCAAATGGAGCTGGACTGTGATATTATTAGGTCTTCATCGTCTTTATGGAGGCTTAACTTAGCTTGCTGAGTGTCGTACCTAGTAACAAGGCAAGCATCCATGTTGTTGGTGGTGGAGGGGAGGTCATTAATAAGTCCCATCAACTTAAAGATGCTAGGGAAGTTGTTGATGGGATGTGGCTTGTTAACTATGTTACCAAAGCAGTAGTCTTCTGATGAAGGGCTTAGCCATAGGGTGTGGACTTTTTTAGATTTGCCTTCAAGATTCATTGAATCTAATTCTTCTGTGACTTTCTTGAATAGATTTTCATCCATTCCAGGGAGGGCTGGAATGTGCTCTACGAGCACATGTGGGCTATACGAGACATTTTGAACAGTAGTTTCCTTCTTCGTTTTCTTTTCCTTCTTCTTTTCATCTAACCGTTCAATTTTTGAAGCAAGCTTTTCCTCTTTCAGACTGTCCAGGATACTCTCAGTGAGGAGGGTATGCATGTGTTGCTTTACTTCAAGAGATAAGTTTTGCAGTAAGGCGAGGAAGTTGGCGGGCAGTGTTGGCATCTTGTTGTGAAGTGTGGGAGGATCGGGAGGAGACTGGGTGATCCGGATAAGAGATCAACAGCAGGATGGATCACTATGCAATGAAACACACCAGTTGTTACAAGTAATTATCAAACCCCACAGACAACATGTTTGTGGTACATTCTGAAATAGAACACAATTAGTATATATTATATCGACTATCATAAATATATAAACCAAATATATAGCAATTCACATGCCCCTCCTTCCTTTGTAGTCTATAGTATATAGAGTCTATAGTACAATATAAAGAAAGAAAAAATTTCATCAAAACGTGAAACAAGAGAAAAGACAATTTTTTTGATTGCGTAACCTTCGTGGGGTAATGGGGCCCCGCTGACCCCGCCGTGTTAGGGGGGTGCCAAATCGTCGTTTGAATGTGGGACAATTTCGAAAACTCAACTAAAGCACTAGCAAAACTGCAGGTTTTGCTCTAGATGTACACTTTTTTAGAGATTTTACCGGCGTATCCTCTAAAATCACCTGATTTGTTCAATTTCAGGGAGGGGCACCAAAAGTGAAACAAATTTTAGTGAAACAAATTAAAAATTGTATCCTTTATTTTACAATCATAATATAATAATATTTATAAGCCTCCGTTTTGAAAGTTTTAAATTCTAATATATTCACATTTCTATTTAAAATTCAACTTTATGTATAAGTCAATAACTGGCCGCCAAAGCCGCGCATTCTTGAAAACAGGATTAACTTGATTATAGTTATACGACAACGTAAATTTAAAACTATCCGTGGTTGTTTTTTTAAATAAATAAATTATAATTTTACCTAAGTCCAAAGCCAGCTTTGTAAAATTTACTATTAGATCATAATATATCGTCAACTTTAAATATTTACAATGCAACAATTCATTAATCTGTAAACACGCGTACTCCAGCCCCTACACGCATCAATTGTTATGCGGCGCGGCTCAAGCTGCGCACGCACGTATTATTTTAACCTGTTTGCTGTCAATGTGTACGTCTAAATTGTAAACGTTCATGTTTTGTGTAAAGTGAATCCAATTGAGACTAGTGACAAGGATAAGGACCCAAGTGCCTGTACGGCTTTTTCGGACCCCTGTGGACCACTACTCTTGAAATCGCTCTACAACATTGAACATCTATATCTACTACGTCATTTGGCAATTATTGTCATTAATCTAACTGTCTTGCCGAGGGGGACGAGTAAACGCTTCACATTAAAATACAACATACAAAATTCAAAACCATCAATACGATTAGTAAATATTATGGACAAATCTATAGGGGAGAGAGCGCCAACAGGGGGGCGCTTTTTCGGCAGGGGCGCCAGCAGGCAACGTTACGCCACTGGACTTGGGGTCCATAAATATAACAATACAAGCTGATAAACCAAAAAGAACAACTGGGGTAGGTAGGTAGCCCTGGTGGGTGCGTAAACTTTACGGTCTACTCTCTCCAAGATCAGCCTGCTTCTCCATCTTAACGTGAAGCCTAATTTCTAGTTTTTATAAATACAATGCAAGCTTATGTTTACTAATCTTAATCTACCTAACAACTCAATAGCCCAAGTCACCATACCCGTAGTATGTTCCTTAGTAATAGAAGAAAAGTTTTTCAAATTGTTGCTATAATTGATTTAAATTAAAATTTGTTGTTTTCTTGAAATTTGTTGTTTTCTTGATTTAACTTGACAAAACAGTTGTTTGGCCCATACCTCTGTTTTGTCATGGATGATTAACGAATATTTATTTAAATGATGATTTTTGTTATCCTAGAAATGTAGTGAGGATTGATAGTACAATGCAAAATAGTCGTACTAAGCTGAATGGTTTGAGGATAATCTAGCAAAGAAAGATAAGAAAGCCTTAAAGAGGGATCATCAATATTAGATATGAGAGTGTATACAATCGAACAAAAGCAATCGCAGACCACTTTGCAAGCAAACTTGAAGTGAGTACCAGGAATAACAAAAGAATATAATTTAATTATTGATTGAATCGATAGAATTTCTTTTAAACATTTAAGTTTAACTTATATAACTTGATTCAAACTTGTGTAAAGAGACACGTTGTAACTATGAGGAAGATTTGTTTCATGTGTTGACTTCAACCAAACTTCCCAGGGTGGTGCTGTCGATATCCTGTGATACCAGTTCCAATTCTTACTCTAGTAAAAACACTGTTAACATTGATGAGAGTAAGATCAAATCTATCAAGATCGGAGGGAACTTTATTGCTTACTTGACTATTGATGGCCAGGTACCCCACATTGTAGCACTTTACATAATTACCATTTACAATTTACATGTATAATAATTAACATCTGATTATTATGAGCTTACTTTTTAGATCACTACTAAGTACTAGTGGTTGTATGATATATAAACTTTCTTGATTCTTTGTCAACTGATAAATTTTTACATACAGAACCAATTAAAATAATAGTCCTGCCATTATTATTCATGATTATCACAATATCAGGTGTTTGCTGTGTATTACAATGTAAAGGAGAACACAACGACCACGTCAACATTGCCTGCTAGTATACTCGATACTACAAAAAAGAGAGCAAGGTATGCAGTAATATTTTACAGGCAATATTAATATCAATGTGGGAATATTCCACATATAAGCTATCTAACTAAGTAGCTGACATGTGTTTAACTATTTCCAGGTTGTCCCAAGAGAGCTCCAGTAAACCGGATCGTATGAAGCACAGGAAGAGACCACGCGTTGATAGTTTACTATCAGGTAAAGTAGACATTATTAGATATCATCTTACTGTAGTTCTGTATTGTAACTCTTGTAGTTGATAGTTTACTATCAGGTAAAGTAGACATTATTAGATATCATCTTACTGTAGTTCTGTATTGTAACTCTTAGAGTTTATCTTCCAAATTACTATATTGTCGACTTGTTTCTGTGATATTTATTGCAAACAAGGTGTTGTAAAACAACAGGCAGAATAGCATCTTGTGTAACCCCACTTTATCAGATTTGTTACGAGAGTACAGCAGCACAGTTAACCAATCAGAAGAGGGTGTGAGTGTTTGGGGGAACAGCCCCTCGTCTCCTAGTAAAACTGATACCTCTAAAACATACTGTCCAACTGCTCCTTCATTCCCTTCAGAGGTTGTTTACATAATAATATCTCCTTGGTGCTTCAAGTTCTTTCTCCAAAAACACCCAGTCAAGTTTTGTGGCTTAAAACTTGATATCAAATATTAAGAATTTACTCTTGGTTCTGAAGCAAGCTGTGAAATTATACCAGGTATAATATGTAAAATGCCAATTTTAAGTAAAATGTAACTAAATAAATGTTCCAGAAAAGTGCATCTGCAGACCATACAGCAGCCTCTCTGGAAAACACAGACTGTAGTGATGTGGAACAAGACACACAGCTTCCTTCAACCAGCGAGGTCTTCTTATCTGACTACTACAACAACATTCAGTCTCAAGTCAGGTAAACAAGGATATATTGTGTATTAAGGTTAATAATAGCATGTACTACATAGATAAGGTGAATACTACATTATTAAATCTGATTGAGAAGAAGACAAATATAATGTTAATAGCTAGCATAGCGTTAATTCTGAAATGTAAACAAATGGTGTAAATTAATTAATTTTAGTGTTTCTCAAGAAAAACATCGTACAAAACAAGATTTAATTGCAAAAACACTAGATTTAAAACCGATAGATGATAACTATTGATACTAATTATCAGAAATATTTAAAAGTTGTTGTCACGGCCACAATAAGACGAAGTTAGATGTGCTCACGATCACGTGGCTGTGACGTCACGTGGTGTTGTGATGACGTCACGTGGTGTTGTGATGACGTCACGTGGTGTTGTGATGACGTCATGTGGTGTTGTGATGACGTCACGTGGTGTTGTGATGACGGCGTGCTCACCACCATAGTAAAAATATTGCTAGCTACCCAAAAACTCACTCCTCAATAAGACCATCTTGTTGGTCTGTATGGTGATGAGAGGCTGTAGCTGTGTAGCACCAGCTCCCAGCTCGTCTGAAGTACCCCAAGTACCTCTCCCTTAGTTCCTGCTTCCGGGATATTATGATAACTGGGTACACTGCTGCGTATATCAGGGGCAGTGTGAACTCTGCAAACCCTACCTGAACAATAAAGTGTCATTAGGTAGTATATTATGTAGCAGAGCTTATTAATCGATAACAAAAACAATTCTAATAATAAATAAATAAATTATCATTTTGAAGAATAATTGCTAAACCTGAATACCCAAATCAACATAATAGTGATCTGTATGTTCTTCGTAATTGATATTCCGGTGGGAGATGAGCCAGGTCGCCACAAAGAAGAAGTAGGTAACATTGCAGAGGAAGAAGAGAGTAGACACCAGGAACACAGTGATAGAAACATGACGTGCTGTGGTGGAGAGGGTGGGTGTCTCGGCGGTGTCTCCAAGTGATCTCCTCAGATACTTCACCTGTATCATCATACAAATGAGGACAGTCAGGGGTATAGCCACAAAGTAAAGGAATGCGAGTGAACCTCCAAAGATGCGGTGAACAAGAGGGTATTCAGAGCATCTCGAGTGACCGGTACTGTCATCCTGGCACAAAATAGCAGCTAGAACAACACTGCCAGGGACATCAAAACCAAGTATCAAGAATAGAAACACTGTAGCTCCAACGTAGGAATCAAGTATATTCTTACTCAGCGCGTAGATGCCTATGATGCTGTCAGAAACATGGAGAAATGTGATGACCAAACAAAGACACAGAACCACCTTCTTCAAGAATGCAGTGTTGACAACACGGAAAGGGTCTACTATATAGCAGGTTAGCGTGATTGTAAGGACCATGTTGAATAGCTTGGAGCAGTTGATGCCCGGCAGAGCAGTTACCATGTAGTAAAGTAAGCTCTTGTAGAGGACCCTGATGTCACCAAGTTCACTGTACGCCAGGATACTGATCACCCCTAGAACTAGTTGTCCTTGTGCTTTTAGGATGTCTGAAAGTGCTATTCCCATAAACAGACTAGGCACAAACTTAGCTCTGTCTTTGTAGTAGTCCATGATGATGACACTGTTTTGCACTACCACTATGAGGGACAGTGGAATTTGAATAAATGAGAGGTCTCGGAATATTCCTTTAAAAATTAACCTGACATCTTCGTCTGACATCCTCTCTAATTCAGAGTAGTTCATCCTGATTCCTGGTGATGTAATGTGAGTCACGCTTTCTTTAGAGATCATTAAAAATAAAAACAGACTTTGATTTGAAACTTTTACAAAATAGCAAATATACAAATGTACAGCAAATCGAACAACCATATAAAATGGGCCGAAATGTATAAATGCTATAAAGCGTGGGTCAGTGAAACAAGTACAGAGGACAACTTTTAAAACACGAGGTTTATGGCCGCCCAAAGTCTCAATAACGTCACCTCCACCTAGTAATAAAATTATGAAATATGAAGTGTGAAATTTAGAGATCATTAAAAATAAAAACAGGCTAAATGTTGGTTAACCACAGCCCCACAACTAGATGGTAAGATTTATACTACAGTAACATACACTAGCTGCAAATTTGATATAGATATTTAAGGTTTGGATAAAAGAAAGGAAATACAACATAACATTCCGAATTCCACTCTTATCTGACAAATATCCTGCCTAAAATTGAAGGTTCTACTTCCTCTTTTAACGCAAAGGAAGATTCCAGATCAGTCAGTATCATTTTCACTACTCAAGGTGTTATTTTATAGGTGGTACCCTTGTACTTAATCCTCCAAAAAACCAGGCTAATTTGGTATTGGGAAATGTTAAGACAGTTTATTAACTAGGGCTCGTGTTACTCGGAGGTAAGAGCATTCAAGAGGTGAACCAACAGTTTAGATCACAATGTGTTGTAATAACGTTTAGATATAATATCTGTACTTTGTAGCGGATATTATTAATAAGCGTATGGTCAGTTTAATGCGGTTGTAGAACTCTATTATCTATTAGTAAGTTTCATCTTTCCATCCTGGAGTACAGAGAGGAGACTTACTGATTACTCCGGGTTAGGAACCGACCGGAATGGGCTTTCAGCCGGATATCCGGTCGGTTCCTACTCCGGGTAATGAATTTTGCTACCCGGATTACGTCTCCTCTCTGTACTCCAGGATGGACAAGATGAGTAAAATAAATTTAATAAATTAGTAAAACCCTGAGAGGCGAGGATACCTCTTAATATACGTAATATATGCAATAATATAGGGAATATATATATATTATGTTAAAGCTCATATATGTATATAAATGGGTTCCAGTTCCGTGATCATTGATTATTACAATAATTTTGTCATTTTAATTTTTATAATAATATGATACAAATACTAGTATTACATTCCTTCATTCTTTTGCAGGTCCGATCAGACAAGAGAACATTTAAAAGATAACAAATCAGAAAGTGGTTATGGAGGTGCAGATAATAAGACTAAACCAGAGGTAACTACATTCGTACAATATTAGCTATAACATTGCTATTATAACATTTAACATTGCTAAGGTTCTATAACATAACTTAACTATTTTTTGATAACTCAATTAACAATTCAGAAAACTGAACATGGAAGATTAAGTATTAAGTAACAGGTCCTATTAGTAGTAATAAGTAATAATTAGTAATTAGTAATTAGTAGTAATTGTTAAAACTCCTTATTCTGGATCCTCCTCCTTATCTCTTGTCTCTCTCTTCAGGTATCACAGCCAGTACAATGGGCTAACTCGCGTGACAACTCGCTCTACTTCACAATGATTGCAGCTACAAAGTGCGCTGTACTGCTCGTCTGTTCTAACGGTACGTAGTGTTTTGGTGATGTGACGTCACGTGGGGTTGTGGTGACGTCACGCGACTGTGACGTCACGTGGTGACTGGTGTTGTGACGTCACGTGGGGTTGTGGTGACGTCACGCGACTGTGACGTCACGTGGTGACTGGTGTTGTGATGATTTTAAGGGTTTATAAAGGAAATATAAATATTTATCAATTACGTAATTGATAAATATTTATCAACTATCGAAAATAGACCACATAGCTTATTTCTCAATTATTTCACTACCTAATCACCCCTAATTATTACTTAATTATTACCTAATAACCCCTAATTTTAATATACGATTATCCTCTAATTACCACCTAATTATCTCCGTGTAGGTCAGTTGTGGAGATGGGATATGTTAGATAACACATTTGAAGAACACCCACTCTATAAGCTGTACTGTGGAGATAAGCCCGTAGTTAAGATACATTCCAGTAACCTCCGCATAACCGTGCTTTTGGAGACTGGGGAGATTGCTGCGTTCTATGACAACTTTATATCAGGTATTTTATATTGTTCGGTACTTTTAATGGTTTGCCCAAGCCCCAAGGATGTCACATCTTTTTTTTGTGTGAATTCGATAGATTAGTTCTGCATTTTTTTTTTTCAGCAGAGGTGAAGTCTCTATCTGTTAACATATACTTGTACGTCACGTGGTGTTATGATTACGTCACGTGGTGATGTGATGACGTCACGTGGTGTTGTGATGACGTCACGTGGTGTTGTGATGACGTCACGTGGTGTTGTGATGACGTCACGTGGTGTTGTGATGACGTCACGTGGTGTTGTGATGACGTCACGTGGTGTTGTGATGACGTCACGTGGTGTTGTGATGACGTCACGTGGTGTTGTGATGACGTCACGTGGTGTTGTGATGACGTCACGTGGTGTTGTGATGACGTCACGTGGTGTTGTGATGACGTCACGTGGTGTTGTGATGACGTCACGTGGTTTCGAAGTCTCTAACTGTTAACATATACTTGTTCTCAAATTAAACGAAATCTCTCTCTCAGGTATCTCCCAACCTATGATAATATCAGAGCTGTCCCATTCTGCTGAGCAAATAGTAGGACTAGAAGATGAAACTGTGGTGGATATTAAATCTGGCGATTTTATCTCCTCTGTTCTTACTAAGTCAGGTGAGATAACAAACTTTGACCCCTGGCACCCCGGCCACCCCCCCCCCCCCCCTATACTACTAGATTTGGGCTATCAGATTATTAATGGAGTTTGAACAGATGTTTAATTCTCATTTAACAACACGATATTATCATTGTTTACCGTTCACGCTATATTATGTAGTTTTGTGTTTAACATAACTAAATTGATTAAATCAATATGAAAGTACATATTATAAAGCAAGATTGTTAAGGATATGTTGAGCTGTTGGAATAACATGTAGTGAATTACCTAATTAACTAATTAACTAATTAACTAATTCCTGTCGCTGCAGGTAAAATACTGTGGTGGGGGATGTTACAGAAGGAAGTGTCTGGAGCATCGAAAGCTAAGTCTACTCTCAGTAGCAGCTCCATCAAGAGTGGCTGCCAGGTAAAACTAATATAAAACAAACTACTGACCATTTGTAATAACTGTCAGTAGCAGCTCCATCAAGAGTGGCTGCCAGGTAAAACTAATATAAACAAACTACTGACCATTTGTAATAACTGTCAGTAGCAGCTCCATCAAGAGTGGCTGCCAGGTAAAACTAATATAAACAAACTACTGACCATTTGTAATAACTCTCAGTAGCAGCTCCATCAAGAGTGGCTGCCAGGTAAAACTAATATAAACAAACTACTGACCATTTGTAATAACTGTCAGTAGCAGCTCCATCAAGAGTGGCTGCCAGGTAAAACTAATATAAACAAACTACTGACCATTTGTAAGTAGCAGCTCCATCAAGAGTGGCTGCCAGGTAAAACTAATATAAACAAACTACTGACCATTTGTAAGTAGCAGCTCCATCAAGAGTGGCTGCCAGGTAAAACTAATATAAAACAAACTACTGACCATTTGTAATGTTGTGATGACGTCACGTGATGTTGTGATGATGTCACGTGGTGTTGTGTAAGATACTCTCAGTAGCAGCTCCATCAAGAGTGGCTGCCAGGTAAAACTAATATAAAACAAACTACTGACCATACTCTCAGTAGCAGCTCCATCAAGAGTGGCTGCCAGGTAAAACTAATATAAAACAAACTACTGACCATACTCTCAGTAGCAGCTCCATCAAGAGTGGCTGCCAGGTAAAACTAATATAAACAAACTACTGACCATCTGTAATAACTTTATAACTATCATAAAACAAACTACTTACCAGCATCACTATCAGCTATAGTGAAGCACACTTATAATTTAAGGCGATTTGAGATTCAAAGAATGTCACGCAAAAAATGGATGCCTCTTGGATCTCTCAATATATTCTGCTGAAAATTTAAATGATCACTGTGAACCGTACTAAATTACTGATATTCAATATAATTAAACCGTAATAACCCAGGTGGTACTAAAGAACAAAGCTAACGATATCCTGATAGGAAGCCTAGTCTACACTGCGTACCCACAAAGCAAACTAGGGAGAGTAGAGGGTTGCTCTGGGAACAGTGTTATTGTTAGGTTGTGTGACAGAACATCTTCTCCAACAGCTGAGGTTGGTTTAGATGATTACGTCACGTGGTGTTGTGATGACGTCACGTGGTGTTGTGATGACGTCACGTGGTGTTGTGATGACGTCACGTGGTGTTGTGATGACGTTTCGTGGTGTTGTGATGACGTCACGTGGTGTTGTGATGACGTTTCGTGGTGTTGTGATGACGTTACGTGGTGTTGTGATGACGTCACGTGATGTTGTGATGACGTCACGTGGTGTTGTGATGACGTCACGTGATGTTGTGTAAGATACCCTTACATTATACCAGATCTTATGACTCCTCATTTAACCCTCAATCACTGTTTCCAATCGTTTGGTTGAGTCACCCAACGAGATATTCAATGAAACAATAAGTTTTATTTTACATTCCTTTAATCATATCAAGCAGATCATAATATTGTGTTATGCTGCATAGATGATAGATTATTAATAAGATATGATGATTACAATTATTTTAACCCCTGCTCAGAAACCGAAAGTAGAGACGTGGTCTAACTCTCAGATAATAGTACTGGAGACAACAATAGTTCCTTTAGGCACTGTTATTGGACTACACGGTCAGTACAACCAACATCAAGCTAGTATGGTAGCAAAAGACAAGATCTTTATTGTTGGTTCAAATTCCATCTGACTGCCTGCTTGGTCCTAACTCGAAATTTTTTTAATACTCTACATATAGAACTGCCAATTAGTAAAGGTTATCTTACATAATAAACACTATTCTATAGTCATGCTAAAAAATTTAATTGTGAAGTGCTACCCTCCTAAATGTTTATGTATTATATATTATAATATTATCAGTTTAATTAACCACGCAATTAATAGATTAATTAACCGTTTAATAAAATCTCTCTCCACCAGGAACAAACGCTATAATCATGACAAGTAGACACACTGACCCTCAGCGGTTCAGGAGCGAGTGGAAACAGTATCGCCGCATGTTCTCTGAAGGTAGGTTTAGTAACCTGGTAACCTGGTAATCGAGTAACCTGGTAACCTGGTAACATATGGAGTATGGACCATGTTCTATGAAGGTAGGTTCAGTAACCGAGTAACTTGGTAACCTGGTAACCTGGTAATCTAGTAACCTAGTAACCTGGTAACATATGGACCATATTCTCTGAAGGTAGGTTTAGTTGTAGATATGAGGCATGTGGAATTCAAGAAGTAAGTGAAAGAGAAAGTAAAAGATAAAGAGAAAGAGAAAGTAACCGCGTGTTCCCAGGTCAGTTAGATAAGCTGAGAGACGAGGATGTAGAGATGGAACCCAAGAAAGAGAATGAGAATGTTATGGAGATTGATGGAAGTAGCGTGGCTAGTGATAACGCAACCAGTGCTTATCCTAACCTCTGTGTTTATCCTGTTAGTCAGCATTTCAGCAATTATTTAATTAATCATATCATAATCATAATCATAATGTAGTTATGAAAATATCCGAATGTTTTGTGAATTTTAAAAGATTACACAAGTACATAGTTCTAGCCTTCTTAATGAAGGTAAATACTATTTACACAATATACCCATTAATAGTTAATAATCAATAACACGTGATCAGGTATCGGATCTGGAAGTGTACGAGAGCTGTGGGCACTCCCACGAGATACAGAAGACACCAGTAAACCTACTCGCTTCTAAAACAGTTAACCTCCAAGGTATTCTTCTTATTATTACACTCTGCCAAACTGTATTATCTTGCTCCCATTCTATTGATCAAACACATAACGGAATGTGCAAACTTATGAAAATTGCTTAAATCGACTGACTAAATCTGATTCTTCTCTTATTCCGTCTCTCATTAACCAACCCCCCTCTCCTCCTCCAGATTACAAAGCACTGTCGTTTAGTATAGATCACACTGGTAACCTAACAGTGTTAGCGAGGAGCAGAACTAACAATAACATCTACATGCTCACTAAGGACTGTGTTAGTGAACATTGTGAGGCGATACAGGAACCTGACTCTGGCTTCCTCAGTCATGTCGGTTAGTTAATACTGCCACAATTAGTTATTTTAGGAGTCAATTATGTAGGTACCAACATATGAACCTGCACATGCAACAATGGGCCAAGTAACTTGGCCCGGTTTTTTATTCTGTGGCTAGAAGTCATTAGGATCCATAGGATCTACATGTGAAATTTGAAGTAAATTTAAGCATGTTTTTGTAAAATCAGTTTTTTTGTAGAATGCAATAACGGGCTATATAACATGGATCTCGACTTCCACCTAAGATATACAGGTCAAGAATGGGCTAGCTAACATAGCCCACGAAGTAATTAAACTTTTTTGGTCTTCACTCCTTTTTAAAAACAGGGTGATATGGGCCAAGTTACGTAGACCAAAAAATTCCTGAAGAAATGGGATAGTTTTTTCCGTTTATCTCAAAACTACCAAAAACTACTTAGCCCATTCTTGCATATGAGACGCCTTCAAGTCCTTAGAATTGATTAGAATTGTAGATCATAACAGCTGCATTGTTGCGTAAATAGGTTGTTAATAACACATGGTACCACAGAGAAGATGAGTATGTTGTCTACACCTGATGTGGTAATGGTGGTGGATAACAACAGTGTGCCCTTCGTCCCTCCTCTTCCTACCTCGCTCAACTTTAGAGAGTTCAACTATCTGCCCAGTCTCAATGCTATTGACATCAAGCAGGAGGTTTGTCTTAACTAGCATACACTACTTGTAACAGTATATATTTGGAAGAGTTATTGGAAAATATTATATTATATAAATTTCTATTATTTTGCCCGAAAGTTCGCTGGTTCAATTTGTTTTAAATCAAGACACTTATTTTACTTCCGAGTACTCCAACAGCCACATTGTTACACAAGTGCAACCAGCCAATTACAGGAAGCTGAAGGATTTTTTTTTGGCCAGTGACGGTTAAGGTAGTGTGTACCATACTTTCTTCGCCTGAGACTTTGCTGCAATGTGCAGCTCCTCGTTTAACCCTCACACCCGATTTCTGGCCGTAAAAAAATACATTGCAAATCAATTTGTTCCAATCTTAAAAACCCTAATATTAAATTATAAACTAACTACATAAAAACTTTCTCTGCTTTACTACTTACCCTGATATTACACATGATGTTACCTTTTGATGTTACCTCTGATGTTACCTTTTGCGTAAGCTATAATTTCTTTGGTTGTATCGGAACAGTTTTATTTACGTTGACCACTTTTTCACAGTTTATTATTAAGCTTTCAAGCAGTAAACTATTTTTTTTCTATATTCTTAAGTCTAGTTAAACATTACTTTATCATATTTTATTGATCTAAGGTGTAGTATTGCCAGATCCCAGTTCAATTTGTAACAGAGTTTTACATTAACAGGAAACGATGTAACAGATTCGATAATATATTTTAATGTTGCCATGGGGTGGCAAGTCCCCATACATCGTAGTCCGATAGTTTCACTGCGGCTTAACATATTCACACTATTACCATGACTACACCCTACACTTTCTCTCTCAGATATCCACATTGTTACCATGACTACACGTACCCTACACTTTCTCTCTCAGATATCCACATTGTTACCATGACTACACGTACCCTACACTTTCTCTCTCAGATATCCACACTATTACCATGACTACACGTACCCTACACTTTCTCTCTCAGATATCCACACTATTACCATGACTACACGTACCCTACACTTTCTCTCTCAGATATCCACACTATTACCATGACTACACGTACCCTACACTTTCTCTCTCAGATATCCACACTATTACCATGACTACACGTACCCGACACTTTCTCTCTCAGATATCCACACTATTACCATGACTACACGTACCCGACACTTTCTCTCTCAGATATCCACACTATTACCATGACTACACGTACCCGACACTTTCTCTCTCAAATATCCACACTATTACCATGACTACACCCTACACTTTCTCTCTCAGATATCCACATTGTTACCATGACTACACGTACCCTACACTTTCTCTCTCAGATATCCACATTGTTACCATGACTGCACCCTACACTTTCTCTCTCAGATATCCACACTATTACCATGACTACACGTACCCTACACTTTCTCTCTCAGATATCCACATTGTTACCATGACTACACCCTACACTTTCTCTCTCAGATATCCACATTGTTACCATGACTACACCCTACACTTTCTCTCTCAGATATCCACATTGTTACCATGACTACACCCTACACTTTCTCTCTCAGATATTCACACTATTACCATGACTACACGTACCCTACACTTTCTCTCTCAGATATCCACATTGTTACCATGACTACACCCTACACTTTCTCTCTCAGATATCCACATTGTTACCATGACTACACGTACCCGACACTTTCTCTCTCAGATATCCACACTATTACCATGACTACACCCTACACTTTCTCTCTCAGATATCCACATTGTTACCATGACTACACCCTACACTTTCTCTCTCAGATATCCACACTATTACCATGACTACACGTACCCTACACTTTCTCTCTCAGATATCCACATTGTTACCATGACTGCACCCTACACTTTCTCTCTCAGATATCCACATTGTTACCATGACTACACCCTACACTTTCTCTCTCAGATATCCACATTGTTACCATGACTGCACCCTACACTTTCTCTCTCAGATATCCACACTATTACCATGACTACACCCTACACTTTCTCTCTCAGATATCCACATTGTTACCATGACTACACCCTACACTTTCTCTCTCAGATATCCACACTATTACCATGACTACACGTACCCTACACTTTCTCTCTCAGATATCCACACTATTACCATGACTACACGTACCCTACACTTTCTCTCTCAGATATCCACATTGTTACCATGACTGCACCCTACACTTTCTCTCTCAGATATCCACATTGTTACCATGACTACACCCTACACTTTCTCTCTCAGATATCCACATTGTTACCATGACTGCACCCTACACTTTCTCTCTCAGATATCCACACTATTACCATGACTACACCCTACACTTTCTCTCTCAGATATCCACATTGTTACCATGACTACATCCTACACTTTCTCTCTCAGATATCCACACTATTACCATGACTACACGTACCCTACACTTTCTCTCTCAGATATCCACACTATTACCATGACTACACGTACCCTACACTTTCTCTCTCAGATATCCACACTATTACCATGACTACACCCTACACTTTCTCTCTCAGATATCCACATTGTTACCATGACTACACCCTACACTTTCTCTCTCAGATATCCACATTGTTACCATGACTACACCCTACACTTTCTCTCTCAGATATCCACTATCCCGGGACGATCCCGATTGATAGTGGCAATAGCAAAGCAAGCCCAAGTGATAATGCCAGTAGTATTACAAGGGGACCTCAAGTACCTCTCGCACGTTAAACTACAAGAACAGGGACCTGGACAGAACATGGGTAAACGTCCTTATGGCAAGTAAGTACCACTGGGTTTTAATGTTAGTTATTTACAAATGCTGTAAAACTGTAGCTCTTGTTACTGTGGTAACATTTCCATATAAGGTAATATTAATAAAACTCACAGTTTATTACTTGCAGGGCAGTACTGACATGGTTACTGTGGTAACATCACCATATAAGGTACAATAAAGTATATTACTTGCAGGGCAGTACCTACATGGGGTGAGTTAGTTCACGCACTAGAGACTGAGAGGGACGCGTGTGGGAGGTCCTGTTTACACGTGTGCGCGATAGCTAAACCTAACCCCCTCCGCAAGCAACAGAAGAGAGCTCCCTCCGGAAACAGCAGTCTGCTTCCAATTAGAGGTAGAGAAACATAATCTGAGATTATTTATTTGAAATGCTAAAACATTCTAATATGTACTTCTATCTTGAAATCGAGTTAAATGTCTTATCTCCCAGAATTGAACGAGTACAAATTTCATCTCATTATTAGTTTATTAATCGTGTAATTAATTTGTTAATTAGTTAATTACCACTTGTGTTCTCACAGTCGACGACTCCTATTTCCACTCGATAACACTGATAAAGCGCACGTGTTCGTTTGAAGAGTTAAGATACAGACACTATACTGTGGAGAGACAGAAGGAACTTAAGGAACATGACAGATGGTTAAATGTCATGAGATTTATATGTGGTATTGAGACTCTGGACCTTGTTAAACTGGTTAGTACTACGTATTACCCCCCCCCCCCCCCCCTCCCAACCCCCTCTATCAGATAATATGGGTATTTTTTATTAAAAATGCACAATTTACTGCTTCACTGTTTTATTATTCCAGGCACCTACCTACAAGACATTAATTCATTGCCCTAGTATGTTAATTCAGGAGGTGACCGGGACATGATTTCAGGCCTGACCGGGACCGGGATACAAAATGTGACTTGACCGGGACCGGGACCGGGACTGAGATTATCAATTTACCGGGACCGGGACCGGGACCGGGACCAATAATTTCTATCTTACCGGGACCGGGACCGGGACCGGGACCAACAATCCAATTTTACCGGGATGACCGGGATGACCGGGATTTGACCGGGATGACCAGTATGACCGGGATGACCGGGACCAAAACTGGTATTCTCATATTGAAAGCTGCAACTTTCATTTACATTATAATTGAACAATTTGAATAAATAATAACTAGAATATTAAATTAGAAAAAACTAGAAAAAACCCGTCAATATGGGGCATGGGCCTAATGTACTACACCAATAATGTTCATGTACTGATTAAAATCCCGGCAAATTTGAGGGACCGGGACCGGGATCATAAATCAGCATTTGACCGGGATCGGGATGAAAAATGTGACTTGACCGGGACCGGGACCGGGACCGGGATAGCTCAAAATTGCCAATCCCGGTCACCTCCTGTGTTAATTAACCTCATTAATTAATTAACTAATTAATTAACTAATTAATTAACTAATTAACCTCGTTAATTAATTAATTAACTGATTAACCTCGTTAATTAATTAATTAACTGATTAACCTCTTTAATTAATTAATTAACTAATTAACCTCGTTAATTAATTAATTAACTAATTAACCTCATTAATTAATTATTTAACTAATTAATCTCCCCTCTCAGTTGACGCTGACAGACAATGCCGGTTACACGCCCTTCATAGCAGCAATAGCCTCAAAGAACTATAACAATGCATGGTATCTTCTACCCATAATAGTAAAGCTAGACAAGAAGCACCCAGGTCTGATGGATCAGGCTGTGTGGAAGAGGCTGCAGTATAATACAACTGTCTACCATATACTAGCACAGGTGAGTGGAAGAGGCTGCAGTATAATACAACTGTATACCATATACTAGCACAGGTGAGCGTATTATCTAAATTAGAAATTAAGCGTGCAAGTGGTGTCCATTATAATTAGCTCAACTGAAGTCTTGGACTGTTGTGAAGAAGTCAGGAGATAATATCTCCTTTTTTAACATAGACTTCATAACTTCATAAAATGTAGCTCACTGAAATGTTTTAATGTTACAGAATAGCTCACGTATTATCTCTGTGATCAGGGTTTGTTGCACAGTGCACTGATAATACAACAAATACCCACCTGGTGTACCGAACAGACACTGCAGAACCTCTTCTGTCAGAAATACTCTTCTATCTACAAAGTTATCAGTAAGTGGTGGGCCGGCCAGAGACAAAAGGATTTCGCGGCATGTACGGAATTGCGAAATTTCCCATTCTCCGTGACAAATTTTATGTATAGTTTAATGTATAGCCTGTTAAATTTCGCGGTACCGCGATTTTTGACCAAAATAATCGCGAAATCCCTTTGTCCCTGGTGCCGGCTAATACATAGTATTTACACAGTGTAATATATAATATCTAACTCTCTGTTTATTTTTTCACTGAACTAGGAGTGACGTTAACAGCTTCTGAGGAAACTAGTTCTAGTTAGTATTTATTGATATCATGGTTCAGACTTTGTTTTTCACTGGCACTATCAAGTAAACACATCCTTACTGTTACAGTAAATACTACCAGAATTAGTTATTTTACTACCTTTCTCTTTCAGTCCAACAGAAGCCTAAGAACATGGTGAAGTCAGTGCGAAGGTTGTTTGACACAAATAAGCCAATGACTGTACGGGACAGAATCCTCAGATCCTTCATGAGGGGACCCTCCGGAGGCTCCTCTAATTCTACCTCACATTTTAAATAGTAAGTTTTAATTTAACTTATAGCTTAGATTTCAAATAGTAAGTTAATTTAATTCTACCTCTCATTTTAAATAGTAAGTTTTAATTTAACTTATAGCTTAGATTTCAAATAGTAAGTTAGTTGATAATAAGTACTTTTACTTCTACCTCACATTTTAAATAGTTAGTTAATTTAACTTATAGCTTAGATTTCAAATAGTAAGTTAGTTGATAATAAGTACTTTTACTTCTACCTCACATTTTAAATAGTTAGTTAATTTAACTTATAGCTTAGATTTCAAATAGTAAGTTAGTTGATAATAAGTACTTTTACTTCTACCTCACATTTTAAATAGTAAGTTTTAATTTAACTTATAGCTTAGATTTCAAATAGTAAGTTAGTTGATAATAAGTACTTTTACTTCTACCTCACATTTTAAATAGTAAGTTTTAATTTAACTTATAGCTTAGATTTCAAATAGTAAGTTAGTTGATAATAAGTACTTTTACTTCTACCTCACATTTTAAATAGTAAGTTTTAATTTAACTTATAGCTTAGATTTCAAATAGTAAGTTAGTTGATAATAAGTACTTTTACTTCTACCTCACATTTTAAATAGTAAGTTTTAATTTAACTTATAGCTTAGATTTCAAATATTAAGTTAGTTGATAATAAGTACTTTTACTTCTACTTCACATTTTAAATAGTAAGTTTTAATTTAACTTATAGCTTAGATTTCAAATAGTAAGTTAGTTGATAATAAGTACTTTTACTTCTACTTCACATTTTAAATAGTAAGTTTTAATTTAACTTATAGCTTAGATTTCAAATAGTAAGTTAGTTGATAATAAGTACTTTTACTTCTAACTCACATTTTAAATAGTAAGTTTTAATTTAACTTATAGCTTAGATTTCAAATAGTAAGTTAGTTGACAATAAGTACTTTTACTTCTGCTTCACATTTTAAATAGTAAGTTAATTTAACTTATAGCTTAGATTTCAAATAGTAAGTTAGTTGATAATAAGTACTTTTACTTCTACCTCACATTTTAAATAGTAAGTTAATTTAACTTATAGCTTAGATTTCAAATAGTAAGTTAGTTGATAATAAATACTATTACTTCTACTTCACATTGCAAATAGTTAGTTTATTAGTCGGATTACCGTTTAGTTGATTATGATATTTTGTAGTACCTTGAGTATTCAAGTACTCGAATAGGTGTGAATGATTGAATGATAATCAAAGTGTTTTAAACTATTTTCACAACTGCAAATAAATACATTTATCGAAGGATTAAGTATGCAATCGTTAGTAGTACTAACCTTTATTCTAACAGTTATCATAATAATTCCTCTCCGCAGTAGTTCTAAGCAACAGCAAGGTATTATCTTCTTCTCGGACCCTCAAGAAGCACGCCGCGCGCTTATACAGATGGACGGTTATGTGATCCCCGCTAAAGCTAACAACCAGCGCAGTAGGACCTCCTACTTCTTATCTAACTCTAATCCAGGGGTACGGGCTTTTTGTGGAATGTTTCTACTTCTTATCTAACTTCTTATCTAACTCTAATCCAGGGGTACGGGCTTTTTGTGGAATTTTTCTACTTATAACTGGATATTATTACAAGTAGTCCAAAAATTACTTGAAGAATATTTAACAGTGAAATTCCAATTTTGTTGTACTTGAATATTTGAAATTGAGAATCAAGTGTTTGACACTGTATTAAAAACCTCGAACCAATGAAATAAAAGTAAAAGCAATCATATCAGTAATCTAAAGTAAACGTTGTTCTTGTTCAGGGTTTCTTCGAGGTCTCAGTACGGTTTGTAGCTAGGGAAGTTAGGGGCTTCTTTTTAACTCCTAGCAAGAAGAAAACATCCCGGGTCAAGGAGGAGTTCGAGCTAACTCAGGTATGTTAACTTAAATAACTAACTCAGCTATGTTAACTTAAATAACTAACTCAGCTATGTTAACTTAAATAACTAACTCAGCTATGTTAAAGTGTTAACTTAAATAACTAACTCAGGTATGTTAACTTAAATAACTAACTCAGGTATGTTAACTTAGATAACTAACTCAGGTATGTTAACTTAAATAACTAACTCAGCTATGTTAACTTAAATAACTAACTCAGGTATGTTAACTTAAATAACTAACTCAGGTATGTTAACTTAAATAACTAACTCAGGTATGTTAACTTAAATAACTAACTCAGGTATGTTAACTTAAATAACTAACTCAGGTATGTTAACTTTAATAACTAACTCAGGTATGTTAACTTTAATAACTAACTCAGGTATGTTAACTTAAATAACTAACTCAGGTATGTTAACTTAAATCACTAACTCAGGTATGTTAACTTAAATAACTAACTCAGGTATGTTAACTTAAATAACTAACTCAGGTATGTTAACTTAAATAACTAACTCAGCTATGTTAACTTAAATAACTAACTCAGGTATGTTAACTTAAATAACTAACTCAGGTATGTTAACTTAAACAGCTAACTCAGCTATGTTAACTTAAATAACTAACTCAGGTATGTTAACTTAAACAACTAACTCAGGTATGTTAACTTAAATAACTAACTCAGGTATGTTAACTTAAACAACTAACTCAGGTATGTTAACTTAAATAACTAACTCAGGTATGTTAACTTAAATAACTAACTCAGGTATGTTAACTTAAATAACTAACTCAGGTATGTTAACTTAAATAACTAACTCAGCTATGTTAACTTAAATAACTAACTCAGGTATGTTAACTTAAATAACTAACTCAGGTATGTTAACTTAAATAACTAACTCAGGTATGTTAACTTAAATAACTAACTCAGCTATGTTAACTTAAATAACTAACTCAGGTATGTTAACTTAAATAACTAACTCAGGTATGTTAACTTAAATAACTAACTCAGGTATGTTAACTTAAATAACTAACTCAGGTATGTTAACTTAAATAACTAACTCAGGTATGTTAACTTAAATAACTAACTCAGGTATGTTAACTTAATTAACTAACTCAGGTATGTTAACTTAAATAACTAACTCAGGTATGTTAACTTAAATAACTAACTCAGGTATGTTAACTTAAATAACTAACTCAGGTATGTTAACTTAAATAACTAACTCAGCTATGTTAACTTAAATAACTAACTCAGCTATGTTAACTTAAATAACTAACTCAGGTATGTTAACTTTAATAACTAACTCAGCTATGTTAACTTAAACAGCTAACTCAGGTATGTTAACTTAAACAGCTAACTCAGCTATGTTAACTTAAACAACTAACTCAGCTATGTTAACTTAAATAACTAACTCAGCTATGTTAACTTAAATAACTAACTCAGCTATGTTAACTTAAATAACTAATAATTACCCAGCTATATAACTTACACAAGTGTTTCACTTCTTCAAATGTTAGATTAAATAACTAACTTGTTATAATCAAACCGACAACGTGCACTCAGTGATTGAGTCTGATCCCTTGTATTATTATAGTTGATAGTGTTTACACTACCTTCAGGAGAACTACAGAAGGATGCTTGCGGAGGCTTTACTAAAGGACTACAGTGGTTGTGTTAACGACCTATGTGAGACTCCATTAGCTACCTTCGTTAACGAGGTAATTTATTAATTAACTAAGTGATTATGTGCTAATAATCCTTCTAAACCACCTTTTTGACCTTTTGGTTTTAGTAGAGAGATTCAAATGCTACAGATCAAAAAGGTGGCTTGTTTTTACAAGCTAGCACGGACTGTTAAATGGATCACTAGGAAAGTTGTCCTCAATTTCTGAGATATCTCATCACTAATTGCTTTATTTAACAACTAACTCTCTTTAATATAATATAATTAATTAATTATAATTAATTATAATTAATTATAATTAATTATAATTAATTATAATTAATTATAATTAATTAATTATATTATAATATACCTCTCTTTCTCAGAGTATATACAGTAAATTAGAGGATAGAAAGAAAGGAGAGAAAGGTTTCTCTTCAGAGCACCTCTTACCTTCTCACAGACTGGAAAGAGGTTTTTATTATTGTTTTTCTTTCTTTCTTTTCTTTTGTTGATACAATACACCAATTTTACTAAAAGGCGTCATCCCTACTCACCATTTTAATGTTAAGGGAGGGCCAGAAGGTCGCCACTCGCCATGGTGACAGTGGCAAAGAAAGTAGTGACACCACCAAATAATCATATGATATTTTTCAACTTGCAAGGATTTAATTGAATTAAATGTTGTCGGCTTATAGTTAGTTAGTAAAGAATATAGTTAAACACCCCAGGAGTGACGGCTGCTTGTAGTTAGTAAGTAAAGTATATAGTTAAACACCCCAGGAGTGACGGCTGCTTGTAGTTAGTTAGTAAAGTATATAGTTAAACACCCCAGGAGTGACGGCTGCTTGTTAGTTAGTAAAGTATATAGTTAAACACCCCAGGAGTGACGGCTGCTTATAGTTAGTTAGTAAAGTATATAGTTAAACACCCCAGGAGTGACGGCTGCTTATAGTTAGTTAGTAAAGTATATGGACACGTTCATTTGAGTTTGAGGATATTGGTAAACAAAAATAATAGCGTTTTTGACGATAGTGGCTTAATTTTGACATCTATTAATCTAGCACGTTCAGAAGTTCTGAACATTAGCCACGTAACCCATACTCCCATATGCACCGCTCAGAAAGAAAATCTATTGTTGTTAGGCACTATAACGTTTCAAATGTCACATTTTGTGTGACTTAGTTAACTGCAGTTGTCTCATTATCATTCCTTGGTCTGAAATATAGTAAATTAGGTCAATCTAACAATTATGATACAACATTGGTTAATGGGCACGGATCGAACGGTTACAAGACAATATTTGGGTAACTTTGTCACACTCATGATACCATACCTCTATTCTACTGTGAGGTGTCCTAAAAACCCTTTCAACTCATTATTTTATGGTTGCTCTACCAAGCATAGCCCTAAAATATGTTATTTTGAATAGTTAGCTAAAACAGGCACTTGGTTATTGGGAAATGAGGTTAATTCTGTCACAATATATGAAATTTAAAATTTTGGGTGAATAATTTATATCTGATTTTGGTTTGAAAGGCGGGAAAATTTTATATGATGACAATGTAGTTGATGCAAGTTAAGTTCAGTTGATGTTTACATTGTTACAAAAAATTATACGAAATCGTAAATAGATTAAAAACAATGATTATAGAATGAAATAGTCTCTTATAACAACTCTTATAATAACTGATGTGACAAAGTAAACATGTCTTGCCCCTATTTTGAAGATCTATATTCTATACCTCTATTAGAATAGAGCTTAAGTTTAACAATTTTAGGTTAAATTTGTCAAAGTCACTAAAAATGTGACAAAATTAACTTTTCATGCCCCAACAATTTCAAGATAGTGTGTAAAAATTAGCATAGGCTGCTTTATTACCTATATAAATCAATCCAAACTACAAAAAATATATGTTTATGTGATGACGATTACCTAACACTTATAATAACTGATGTGACAAAGTAAACATGTCTTGCCCCTATTTTGAAGATCTATAACTCTATTAGAATTCAACATTCTTTCAGAAACGATTGGAAGAATATTGTCCAGAACATAAGAACTCAATTTTTAAAATTTAGATTGATTTGTCAAAGACATTGAAAATGTGACAAAATTAACTTTCCCTGCCCCAACAGTATCAAGATAGTGTGTTAAAATTGGCATAGGATTTATTACAGGTATATTAAAGTATTAATCGATCCAAACTACGAAAAATATCTTTTAAATTTAATCTGATGACGATTACCTAACTCTTATAATAACTGATGTGACAAAGTAAACATGTCTTGCCCCTATTTTGAAGAATTATACCTCTATTAGAATACTATGTAACTTTATCATCAAAAAAATTTCGATAAACTAGTTATTTTGCCAGCAAGGAGCTAACAGAGTTATAATAATTTTTTGTGACGAAATTACCCTATTTTTGACCATGTAGATTGTAGCGGTAGTTTAATTGTGACACTGTTAAGTGTTAACATGATTATCTTAAAATTTATTCCGCTTTTATTTTTTATTCCCACTCTCGATTCCTTGCTAGCAGTCCGGTTAATTTAGTACCTTTAGTGGGTCTCATTTAATCATTAGCTCTAATTAAAGAACCTCTCAGTCTCACCCTCTCAGATTTTCACCGCTCCGTTCATTTTTATAGCTTTATTATTTTTATCTTTTTACTACACTTACTAACACGTGTGCATTACAAAGGAGCAATAGTTTGCGGAGGCATTCTAGAACGGTATATAGTTTAGCTTTCAGTTTCTGTTTCATTATCTTAAAATTTATTCCGCTTTTATTTTTTATTCCCACTCTCGATTCCTTGCTAGCAGTCCGGTTAATTTAGTACCTTTAGTGGGTCTCATTTAATCATTAGCTCTAATTAAAGAACCTCTCAGTCTCACCCTCTCAGATTTTCACCGCTCCGTTCATTTTTATAGCTTTATTATTTTTATCTTTTTACTACACTTACTAACACGTGTGCATTACAAAGGAGCAATAGTTTGCGGAGGCATTCTAGAACGGTATATAGTTTAGCTTTCAGTTTCTGTTTCATTATCTTAAAATTTATTCCGCTTTTATTTTTTATTCCCACTCTCGATTCCTTGCTAGCAGTCCGGTTAATTTAGTACCTTTAGTGGGTCTCATTTAATCATTAGCTCTAATTAAAGAACCTCTCAGTCTCACCCTCTCAGATTTTCACCGCTCCGTTCATTTTTATAGCTTTATTATTTTTATCTTTTTACTACACTTACTAACACGTGTGCATTACAAAGGAGCAATAGTTTGCGGAGGCATTCTAGAACGGTATATAGTTTAGCTTTCAGTTTCTGTTTCATTATCTTAAAATTTATTCCGCTTTTATTTTTTATTCCCACTCTCGATTCCTTGCTAGCAGTCCGGTTAATTTAGTACCTTTAGTGGGTCTCATTTAATCATTAGCTCTAATTAAAGAACCTCTCAGTCTCACCCTCTCAGATTTTCACCGCTCCGTTCATTTTTATAGCTTTATTATTTTTATCTTTTTACTACACTTACTAACACGTGTGCATTACAAAGGAGCAATAGTTTGCGGAGGCATTCTAGAACGGTATATAGTTTAGCTTTCAGTTTCTGTTTCATTATCTTAAAATTTATTCCGCTTTTATTTTTTATTCCCACTCTCGATTCCTTGCTAGCAGTCCGGTTAATTTAGTACCTTTAGTGGGTCTCATTTAATCATTAGCTCTAATTAAAGAACCTCTCAGTCTCACCCTCTCAGATTTTCACCGCTCCGTTCATTTTTATAGCTTTATTATTTTTATCTTTTTACTACACTTACTAACACGTGTGCATTACAAAGGAGCAATAGTTTGCGGAGGCATTCTAGAACGGTATATATTTTAGCTTTCAGTTTCTGTTTCATTATCTTAAAATTTATTCCGCTTTTATTTTTATTCCCACTCTCGATTCCTTGCTAGCAGTCCGGTTAATTTAGTACCTTTAGTGGGTCTCATTTAATCATTAGCTCTAATTAAAGAACCTCTCAGTCTCACCCTCTCAGATTTTCACCGCTCCGTTCATTTTTATAGCTTTATTATTTTTATCTTTTTACTACACTTACTAACACGTGGCATTACAAAGGAGCAATAGTTTGCGGAGGCATTCTAGAACGGTATATAGTTTAGCTTTCAGTTTCTGTTTCATTATCTTAAAATTTATTCCGCTTTTATTTTTATTCCCACTCTCGATTCCTTGCTAGCAGTCCGGTTAATTTAGTACCTTTAGTGGGTCTCATTTAATCATTAGCTCTAATTAAAGAACCTCTCAGTCTCACCCTCTCAGATTTTCACCGCTCCGTTCATTTTTATAGCTTTATTATTTTTATCTTTTTACTACACTTACTAACACGTGTGCATTACAAAGGAGCAATAGTTTGCGGAGGCATTCTAGAACGGTATATATTTTAGCTTTCAGTTTCTGTTTCATTATCTTAAAATTTATTCCGCTTTTATTTTTATTCCCACTCTCGATTCCTTGCTAGCAGTCCGGTTAATTTAGTACCTTTAGTGGGTCTCATTTAATCATTAGCTCTAATTAAAGAACCTCTCAGTCTCACCCTCTCAGATTTTCACCGCTCCGTTCATTTTTATAGCTTTATTATTTTTATCTTTTTACTACACTTACTAACACGTGTGCATTACAAAGGAGCAATAGTTTGCGGAGGCATTCTAGAACGGTATATATTTTAGCTTTCAGTTTCTGTTTCATTATCTTAAAATTTATTCCGCTTTTATTTTTATTCCCACTCTCGATTCCTTGCTAGCAGTCCGGTTAATTTAGTACCTTTAGTGGGTCTCATTTAATCATTAGCTCTAATTAAAGAACCTCTCAGTCTCACCCTCTCAGATTTTCACCGCTCCGTTCATTTTTATAGCTTTATTATTTTTATCTTTTTACTACACTTACTAACACGTGTGCATTACAAAGGAGCAATAGTTTGCGGAGGCATTCTAGAACGGTATATATTTTAGCTTTCAGTTTCTGTTTCATTATCTTAAAATTTATTCCGCTTTTATTTTTATTCCCACTCTCGATTCCTTGCTAGCAGTCCGGTTAATTTAGTACCTTTAGTGGGTCTCATTTAATCATTAGCTCTAATTAAAGAACCTCTCAGTCTCACCCTCTCAGATTTTCACCGCTCCGTTCATTTTTATAGCTTTATTATTTTTATCTTTTTACTACACTTACTAACACGTGTGCATTACAAAGGAGCAATAGTTTGCGGAGGCATTCTAGAACGGTATATAGTTTAGCTTTCAGTTTCTGTTTCATTATCTTAAAATTTATTCCGCTTTTATTTTTATTCCCACTCTCGATTCCTTGCTAGCAGTCCGGTTAATTTAGTACCTTTAGTGGGTCTCATTTAATCATTAGCTCTAATTAAAGAACCTCTCAGTCTCACCCTCTCAGATTTTCACCGCTCCGTTCATTTTTATAGCTTTATTATTTTTATCTTTTTACTACACTTACTAACACGTGTGCATTACAAAGGAGCAATAGTTTGCGGAGGCATTCTAGAACGGTATATAGTTTAGCTTTCAGTTTCTGTTTCATTATCTTAAAATTTATTCCGCTTTTATTTTTATTCCCACTCTCGATTCCTTGCTAGCAGTCCGGTTAATTTAGTACCTTTAGTGGGTCTCATTTAATCATTAGCTCTAATTAAAGAACCTCTCAGTCTCACCCTCTCAGATTTTCACCGCTCCGTTCATTTTTATAGCTTTATTATTTTTATCTTTTTACTACACTTACTAACACGTGGGCATTACAAAGGAGCAATAGTTTGCGGAGGCATTCTAGAACGGTATATATTTTAGCTTTCAGTTTCTGTTTCATTATCTTAAAATTTATTCCGCTTTTATTTTTATTCCCACTCTCGATTCCTTGCTAGCAGTCCGGTTAATTTAGTACCTTTAGTGGGTCTCATTTAATCATTAGCTCTAATTAAAGAACCTCTCAGTCTCACCCTCTCAGATTTTCACCGCTCCGTTCATTTTTATAGCTTTATTATTTTTATCTTTTTACTACACTTACTAACACGTGTGCATTACAAAGGAGCAATAGTTTGCGGAGGCATTCTAGAACGGTATATAGTTTAGCTTTCAGTTTCTGTTTCATTATCTTAAAATTTATTCCGCTTTTATTTTTATTCCCACTCTCGATTCCTTGCTAGCAGTCCGGTTAATTTAGTACCTTTAGTGGGTCTCATTTAATCATTAGCTCTAATTAAAGAACCTCTCAGTCTCACCCTCTCAGATTTTCACCGCTCCGTTCATTTTTATAGCTTTATTATTTTTATCTTTTTACTACACTTACTAACACGTGTGCATTACAAAGGAGCAATAGTTTGCGGAGGCATTCTAGAACGGTATATATTTTAGCTTTCAGTTTCTGTTTCATTATCTTAAAATTTATTCCGCTTTTATTTTTATTCCCACTCTCGATTCCTTGCTAGCAGTCCGGTTAATTTAGTACCTTTAGTGGGTCTCATTTAATCATTAGCTCTAATTAAAGAACCTCTCAGTCTCACCCTCTCAGATTTTCACCGCTCCGTTCATTTTTATAGCTTTATTATTTTTATCTTTTTACTACACTTACTAACACGTGTGCATTACAAAGGAGCAATAGTTTGCGGAGGCATTCTAGAACGGTATATAGTTTAGCTTTCAGTTTCTGTTTCATTATCTTAAAATTTATTCCGCTTTTATTTTTATTCCCACTCTCGATTCCTTGCTAGCAGTCCGGTTAATTTAGTACCTTTAGTGGGTCTCATTTAATCATTAGCTCTAATTAAAGAACCTCTCAGTCTCACCCTCTCAGATTTTCACCGCTCCGTTCATTTTTATAGCTTTATTATTTTTATCTTTTTACTACACTTACTAACACGTGTGCATTACAAAGGAGCAATAGTTTGCGGAGGCATTCTAGAACGGTATATAGTTTAGCTTTCAGTTTCTGTTTCATTATCTTAAAATTTATTCCGCTTTTATTTTTATTCCCACTCTCGATTCCTTGCTAGCAGTCCGGTTAATTTAGTACCTTTAGTGGGTCTCATTTAATCATTAGCTCTAATTAAAGAACCTCTCAGTCTCACCCTCTCAGATTTTCACCGCTCCGTTCATTTTTATAGCTTTATTATTTTTATCTTTTTACTACACTTACTAACACGTGTGCATTACAAAGGAGCAATAGTTTGCGGAGGCATTCTAGAACGGTATATAGTTTAGCTTTCAGTTTCTGTTTCATTATCTTAAAATTTATTCCGCTTTTATTTTTTATTCCCACTCTCGATTCCTTGCTAGCAGTCCGGTTAATTTAGTACCTTTAGTGGGTCTCATTTAATCATTAGCTCTAATTAAAGAACCTCTCACCCTCTCAGAAAACTCCGTTTGGATATATTCCTTATTAGGCTCTAAGTTATTAATTTTCCTTGTGTTTGAATCCTGTCACTTTTTAACTGTTTTTAGTCTTTGTTATTTTCGGCCGATTTCTGCACTTTTACACTGGGTCATCATTCATAATTTCTTGGATTGAGACGATTTATATCAGCATTTAAGGAAGAGTTTGCTTGTCTGACTTACTTCATTAGACACTTCTGGTCAAGAACTGAACAAGAACCACATTCGAAAACTGGAACATCTGAATGACTCCGCAACCCAGGAATCAACTACTCAGTTATTATCGCTCAATAATCGGTTTGGTATCGACGTTACATACTTTATTATTACTATTTTTTAAAGCTGATTTTAGAAACCAGGGAATTAAAGTTACCCTCCTAAGGCTAACATTAAATCGCTGATTTTATTTATATATATCACTTTTTTTTGTTCTTTCTTTTCCTTCAAAACATTCCAGTACATTGTGCAAAAAGTTGGAGATGAAGCCGTAGTACGTACATGTAGCATTGCACTGGATCGAACTTGCAGAGTGTGGTTTCCTCCAGTCTGCGCTGCCCGCTTATATAAACATACGCGGCGCAGATCGACTGGAGGAGATTGCACTGTGTAGGCTCCGGTGTAATGTGGTATGTATGTACTACGGCTTTACAAATTTTGGAAGCATGTAGGGATATATATCTGATACCAATCGTATATACTAAAAATACTCTAGCACAATTGTAACTGCAGTTTTACAGAACTCTAAATGCTTAATGAACACTCTTGCAGGTACCACCCGTATTCACACTCAGACCTGAGTTTAGTCATTTTCCGATACGAGATTGGGGACGGGTTCTATAAACAAACAAACAAGTGTTAACATATTACCACCTGATAATGATTTATTTGACTGGAGCATGGTACTAGCAGTGTTGTTTGATCCATAGTACGTATAATATAAGGGGTTTAAGCTGGTATATCATTATTTGTTCAATTTCACACATGTTCAGATATTATCAAGATTATGTGACAAAGTAAGCTTGGTTGTGCCTTCTGTGTTTTAATTCCTTACGACTATATGATATAATAACAATTCCCAGCACTTCCAGGCCATCAAATAAACTTACACTACTCAGCATTGCTTATCAGGGTGCCCTAAACATTCATCACATATTTTCTTTAATGTGTGACAGAGTAAACCTGAATGCACCATCTAACGAAAAAAAGTCGTCAAATATGTAGGTAATGGTCATATGTACCCATCCAATCAACTGGACACTCAAACATTTTGTCAAAAACGGCAGCAAGGGGTCCATATTTACTCCGTCACATGTTTATAGTGTGACAATGTAACCATTTCCGTGCCGGCCGTATTTAAGCGATATCTTATCACCTGATTAAGATATCGTTATGCGACAAAGTTAGCCTAGAGGATGAGACGATTATCCTAACCATCAAGGGTTTAAGTAATTTCATAGTGTGACAAAGTCAACTACACTGTGCCTTTTAATAGGGTCACTTATATTTACCAATATCCTCAAACTCAAATGAACGTGTCCATATAGTTAAACACCCCAGGAGTGACGGCTGCTTATAGTTAGTAAGTAAAGTATATAGTTAAACACCCCAGGAGTGACGGCTGCTTATAGTTAGTTAGTAAAGTATATAGTTAAACACCCCAGGAGTGACGGCTGCTTGTATGTTAGTTAGTAAAGTATATAGTTAAACACCCCAGGAGTGACGGCTGCTTTTAGTTAGTAAGTAAAGTATATAGTTAAACACCCCAGGAGTGACGGCTGCTTGTATGTTAGTTAGTAAAGTATATAGTTAAACACCCCAGGAGTGACGGCTGCTTTTAGTTAGTAAGTAAAGTATATAGTTAAACACCCCAGGAGTGACGGCTGCTTGTATGTTAGTTAGTAAAGTATATAGTTAAACACCCCAGGAGTGACGGCTGCTTTTAGTTAGTAAGTAAAGTATATAGTTAAACACCCCAGGAGTGACGGCTGCTTGTATGTTAGTTAGTAAAGTATATAGTTAAACACCCCAGGAGTGACGGCTGCTTGTATGAGAGACTCGAGTGCAAGTTTCCCTTACTCAGTCAGTGCTGGTCTAGCATCACGTATACCAGTCACTGTCAGAAGACCACGCCTCTCACAGCGCTCTATTCAACTTGACAGTCATAGATCTGACTTGGGGTGAGTTAACTTAACCTGCTGTATATATTAACCAATCAGCATCCACTATTGACCACTCGTACCCCAGAATCACCGTCACGTGTCACAATATGTGTGTTACCACCCCACCAGAATCCACATCTTTTGTAAGAGGGTGATTGAAATGTGTCTCTTCATCGCCACTCGCTATTCATTATACAAATTTTCTGAAAATCTACCATTTTATTGATTTTATGATGTATTAGTTGATGTGTAGAAATGGTAATAATATGTAGTAAGTTTGAATAATAACTCTCCCTTCAGAGACAGGTATAATCCTAGTAACAGCAATGCACCTACTCTACTTCACCCCACCGCTTACTTCTACTCTTCTCTGCTACCTGACGATCACATAGATAGACTTATTGTGAGTTTATCTTATTTCTCTGTAATTATCAGTAGAATCATTAATTAATTAGATGGGTTTTTTGTCAGATTCTCTAATTACTGAAATTATAGAATAATAAACTCCTTAATAAACCCTTTTCGTTGGTTGTACACTGATTCACTTAGGTAAACCGTAGAAGAGCTCCAGATGCAGAAGTAGCAAACGACCGTGCAAACTTTTCTATATCGAGGTCAGTTTAAATGTTCTAGCTTTAAAGTCTGTTATTATTGACGCGCCAACAACTTAACCTTTTTTCAGATTGTTTATTGTTAAGAGACAGTGGCAATCTTGTAAGAAACGTGACGCGCGCTCTTTTTATTTTTATCCTGTCAGCGTTAGTACACGACCGTTTCTACTGCGCGATATGTAGTTTTAGTGATCCATCGAATATCGATGCCGCCGAATATTTTTCGCTACATTTTAATGAGTTACTTATAAATCGTTATCATGGCGATATAAAGTTTAACCTAGTTTTCAACTAACAGTGATATCGAAGAAGAAGAGACCAGTGTTACTCTGCCCCCACTCCCCCCTTCTAGGTAAATTAATGTCTTTTTTTGATTTTTTTGTGTCTGTAATATTAAATATCTTGTTGATAGATAAAGCTATCAATCTATGCTTCCTTATTTATCGGTTGATACCTTGTATAATGAGTCTTGGTGGCCTAACTAAAGTAAGCTTCTGAATGGGAAAGCAGAGGGGGAAATTATCAATGATCCCGCCAATTTGGGACTGAAATAAACGCAACTTTAGATCCACTATATTTAATAATAATATGCTAACTACTTGTTTCCACTGATTCCTGCCCAGATACTTTGAAGAGTTACAAGAAGACCTAGCAAGAGTGCGAGAGGACGAGTTAGAGTTAAGAAGGAGGGCAGGACCATCTACTGATATATTCGGGAACCACGTCGGAGGACAGGGGAGTGGGTGGGGTGATATCAGACAGAGCCCTATGTCAGATGATATGTTCTTACCTTTTGAAAACCTTATGCCCACTGAAGTAGTGCCCTCTCCGTCTCTTTCTAGGGTATTCGGTAAGTTTCGTGATATCACTAGCTCCTAACTCCGCATACTATCGCTTAATTAGTCAGTTTCGTAATATTACTAGCTCCTAACTCCGCATATTATCGCTTAATTAGTTAGTTTCGTAATATCACTAGCTCCTAACTCCGCATACTATCGCTTAATTAGTCAGTTTCTTAACATTACTAGCTCCTAACTCCGCATACTATCGCTTAATTAGTCAGTTTCTTAACATTACTAGCTCCTAACTCCGCATACTATCGCTTAATTAGTCAGTTTCTTAACATTACTAGCTCCTAACTCCGCATACTATCGCTTAATTAGTCAGTTTCTTAACATTACTAGCTCCTAACTCCGCATACTATCGCTTAATTAGTCAGTTTCGTAATATTACTAGCTCCTAACTCCGCATACTATCGCTTAATTAGTCAGTTTCTTAACATTACTAGCTCCTAACTCCGCATACTATCGCTTAATTAGTCAGTTTCTTAACATTACTAGCTCCTAACTCCGCATACTATCGCTTAATTAGTCACTTTCTTAACATTACTAGCTCCTAACTCCGCATACTATCGCTTAATTAGTCACTTTCTTAACATTACTAGCTCCTAACTCCGTCTAATTTGCAGAAGAAGACCTGGCGTACGCGCTGAATGTGCTCCCGAACCAGCCAGTTCTCCCTACCTCCTCCCTTCCCGCCTCTTCCCCGGTGTTACACGTCTCCTCCCCTGTCCTCCCCAGCATGTCCAATCTCCCTACCTCTAGTAAACAGAGCACCCCTCCTCTTATCATAAAGTCAGAATCTAGAGCTGACAAACAGGAAGAGTTTGACTCAATACCCGCCTACCCAACTGAAAAGCAGACTACTAGTTTAGACTGTGTTGCTAAGCAACTGTGTGCTAACGAGCTTGTCGTGGTTACTACTATCTACTGTTCCTATAGCAACAGTAAAACTCTACCCCCTGATTTGAGTAAAGAGATGAGTGAAGATAAGAGCCCCTCCAAACAGGAGCAATCTACTGAGGGTAACGATACACTACCCTACTCGTTACCAGAAATAGAAGCAACCTCAGATAGAGTAGATAACGTGCAGTACAGTCACGAGATGACATGTTTTACACATAACCTGGTTGCTAACACCACTAACGGGGCAGACATTACCGCTACTCTCTCTAAAATGCTGGAGAGGAAGGCTCCGGGAGCCCTGTATATTGCAATGCTGTTTATTCGGAGTTTAGTTAAGTACCTGACGTTACAGCTGACTAATATAGGACCTAGGGAGTGTCTGACTGACATGCCAGAGTATAGACTGGCTGTGGAGACTAGGAAACTGCTAGAGTCTTTTGGTGAGTTTTAAAGTGATTCTTGTTCCACTTCATCGGGATTTTATTGGATCAATAGCAAATAATGAAGATCTGTTGATATTGTTTTTATAAAGATGTTTAGTAAGAACACAGCAAATAATATATTATTTAAGTTTATATGATATATTATATAAGTTTATAATATATATTATTTAAGTTTATATAATATAATATACTCTTCCAGGTTGGTTGGCGGTGAGAGAGATTCTCCAGTCAGCTGAAGCTCTTTTTCTCCCAATACAATACAACACCTTCAAGTCTCAGACTCATTCTTCCGTAATGGAGCAACACATCTTCCCTCACCCCCCTGGCTTCATGTTCCCTTCCTCTGTTAGTAATCGCTCTTAATTAGTTAATTAGTTAATTAGTAACTCACTATCCTAGCTAGTAGCTAGGGTAACGTTAGGGTTAGTTTATAGACCTTATAGATATAGATACTGGTTTCTCAACAAATTTACACGTGGGCACTGGGCAGTCGTACGTGCGAAGAGAAACTTCCGTATTATAAGTTCTAGATAATAACAGTTCTGTTCCAAATGAGCTACATTTCATGCCCATATATGATCATTATCTGATTTCCATATTTTGGTCACGTGTCAAAAAAACAATATGGTGTCCCTCCAACATCTACTCTTTCGCTATAATAATGTTTTTCAGGCATCTCAAGCTATCTCTCTACACCCCAAAACATGAGACAATGTTTTAATAATAATGTTTTTCAGGCATCTCAAGCTATATCTCTACACCCCAGTACCTACATGAGACAATGTCCACTTCTTAAAGATAGAGCTACCTCTCCCAAACTTAAAAAGTTAGTCCTACTTTGCAATATTATTACCTCTAGTATTAAAGGGGGGCATAAATGTCAATTAACCCACAATTGACTCAATACCCGCCTACCCAATTGAGAAGAATACTACTAGTTTAGACTGTGTTGCTAAGCATTGCTCCCCATGTTCACTAAAAGTTTCTAGTTTTGGTATACCTTTCTCACCATGTTCACTAAAGCTAATAGTTTTGATGAAAAATGGTGAATGATCGTTTTGGTGAATCGAGTTTTTAAATATAAAATTTCACAACCTTTTTAACCGTGTGGGAACGATTTATGCTGTTAAGGGGGGGGGGGGGCCAATGGGTATTTTTTTGTGAAACTTGATTTCGAGATAGCAGTTGACCAACAAACTAGGACCAGTGACCGAACTTTTGAGGGGGTCCCGGACCCCAACCGCCAAACGGTGCGCGCAGGGCAGCCACGCCCATATTTGGTCCAAATTAGGCCCAATTTAGCCAAATACCCTGTACATGCCCCAAACCCAGGTTTATGGTGCTCTACTTGTAGCTAGTGGTCTCCTGAACTCGTATATGAAATTTCATCAAGATTGGACAAAAAATGACTGAGTTATGAGCCAAAAACCATATGCCCATATTTGGGCATACGCACCAAATTTGGTAGATTTCGTCCCATAAATTGGTCAAATATCAATATTTTTGAATGAAACTTACTTTATATGAAAGGTAAGCCTAAACTACATATTCTCTGTAATTTATAGCTTTATATCTGTTTAAATGTGGATACTAAGGCGAAAAAACCACAAAAAATGAACTAAATTGCCCATATCTCGGTTCGCGATATTCGCGGAATTGATCTCACCAAAATTGTAACAACTCAATCGGTTTTCAAAATTTTTGCATGAAATTTTTGGAATCGACTCGAAATCGCATTTCGACCTTATTTTAAGAACGGATTTTTGATTTAGGCCTCAAAAAAAATTTGGCGGCCAAATTCCAAAATTATATTACAGAAATTCAGAATTTGGCCGCCAAATTTTTTTTGAGGCCTAAATCAAAAATCCGTTCTTAAAATAAGGTCGAAATGCGATTTCGAGTCGATTTCAAAAATTTCATGCAAAAATTTTGAAAACTGATTGAGTTGTTACAATTTTGGTGAGATCAATTCCGCGAATATCGCGAACCGAGATATGGGCAATTTAGTTCATTTTTTGTGGTTTTTTCGCCTTAGTATCCACATTTAAACAGATATAAAGCTATAACTTACAGAGAATATGTAGTTTAGGCTTACCTTTCATATAAAGTAAGTCTCATCCAAAAATATTGATATTTGACCAATTTATGGGACGAAATCTACCAAATTTGGTGCGTATGCCCAAATATGGGCATATGGTTTTTGGCTCATAACTCAGTCATTTTTTGTCCAATCTTGATGAAATTTCATATACGAGTTCAGGAGACCACTAGCTACAAGTAGAGCACCATAAACCTGGGTTTTGGGCATGTTCAGGGTATTTGGCTAAATTGGGCCTAATTTGGACCAAATATGGGCGTGGCTGCCCTGCGCGCACCGTTTGGCGGTTGGGGTCCGGGACCCCCTCAAAAGTTCGGTCACTGGTCCTAGTTTGTTGGTCAACTACTATCTCGAAATCAAGTTTCACAAAAAAATACCCATTGACCCCCCCCCCCCCCTTAAAAAATACTCACTCCATTTAATTACAATATTGGAAATGATCGCTAGTAGTGTAGCCCCCTCATGACAAAACCCTCAGGAAATTATCGCTAGTAATGTAGCCCCCTCATGACAAAACCCTCAGGAAATTATCGCTAGTAGTGCAAGTGTAGCCCCCTCATGACAAAACCCTCAGGAAATTATCGCTAGTAGTGCAAGTGTAGCCCCCTCATGACAAAACCCTCAGGAAATTATCGCTAGTAGTGCAAGTGTAGCCCCCTCATGACAAAACCCTCAGGAAATTATCGCTAGTAGTGTAGCCCCCTCATGACAAAACCCTCAGGAAATTATCGCTAGTAGTGCAAGTGTAGCCCCCTCATGACAAAACCCTCAGGAAATTATCGCTAGTAGTGTAGCCCCCTCATGACAAAACCCTCAGGAAATTATCGCTAGTAGTGCAAGTGTAGCCCCCTCATGACAAAACCCTCAGGAAATTATCGTTAGTAGTGTAGCCCCCTCATGACAAAACCCTCAGGAAATTATCGCTAGTAGTGTAGCCCCCTCATGACAAAACCCTCAGGAAATTATCGCTAGTAGTGCAAGTGTAGCCCCCTCATGACAAAACCCTCAGGAAATTATCGCTAGTAGTGTAGCCCCCTCATGACAAAACCCTCAGGAAATTATCGCTAGTAGTGCAAGTGTAGCCCCCTCATGACAAAACCCTCAGGAAATTATCGCTAGTAGCGGAGCCCCCTCATGACAAAACCCTCAGGAAATTATCGCTAGTAGCGGAGCCCCCTCATGACAAAACCCTCAGGAAATTATCGTTAGTAGTGTAGCCCCCTCATGACAAAACCCTCAGGAAATTATCGCTAGTAGTGTAGCCCCCTCATGACAAAACCCTCAGGAAATTATCGCTAGTAGTGCAAGTGTAGCCCCCTCATGACAAAACCCTCAGGAAATTATCGCTAGTAGTGTAGCCCCCTCATGACAAAACCCTCAGGAAATTATCGCTAGTAGTGCAAGTGTAGCCCCCTCATGACAAAACCCTCAGGAAATTATCGCTAGTAGTGTAGCCCCCTCATGACAAAACCCTCAGGAAATTATCGCTAGTAGTGCAAGTGTAGCCCCCTCATGACAAAACCCTCAGGAAATGATCGCTAGTAGTGTAGCCCCCTCATGACAAAACCCTCAGGAAATGATCGCTAGTAGTGTAGCCCCCTCATGACAAAACCCTCAGGAAATTATCGCTGGTAGTGTAGCCCCCTCATGACAAAACCCTCAGGAAATTATCGCTAGTAGTGTAGCCCCCTCATGACAAAACCCTCAGGAAATTATCGCTAGTAGTGTAGCCCCCTCATGACAAAACCCTCAGGAAATTATCGCTAGTAGTGTAGCCCCCTCATGACAAAACCCTCAGGAAATTATCGCTAGTAGTGTAGCCCCCTCATGACAAAACCCTCAGGAAATTATCGCTAGTAGTGTAGCCCCCTCATGACAAAACCCTCAGGAAATTATCGCTAGCAGTGTAGCCCCCTCATGAGAAAACCCTCAGGAAATTATCGCTAGTAGTGTAGCCCCCTCATGACAAAACCCTCAGGAAATTATCGCTAGTAGTGTAGCCCCCTCATGACAAAACCCTCAGGAAATTATCGCTAGTAGTGTAGCCCCCTCATGACAAAACCCTCAGGAAATTATCGCTGGTAGTGTAGCCCCCTCATGACAAAACCCTCAGGAAATTATCGCTAGTAGTGTAGCCCCCTCATGACAAAACCCTCAGGAAATTATCGCTAGTAGTGTAGCCCCCTCATGACAAAACCCTCAGGAAATTATCGCTAGTAGTGTAGCCCCCTCATGACAAAACCCTCAGGAAATTATCGCTAGTAGTGTAGCCCCCTCATGACAAAACCCTCAGGAAATTATCGCTAGTAGTGTAGCCCCCTCATGACAAAACCCTCAGGAAATTATCGCTAGTAGTGTAGCCCCCTCATGACAAAACCCTCAGGAAATTATCGCTGGTAGCGGAGCCACGTTTATCAGGAGGAGATGAAGACGAGATGAGCGGGGACGAGCTAACGGACGAGGAGTCCGTTAATGACGACTCTTCTCACTCATTCCTTACTCAGATCAATATATTCGATGTGGTGGACAACTTCTTCAACCCCAACCCGCCCCAAGGTAGGTCTCCTCGTTGTAACACGTGATTATAACACGTGTTACGAGATTTCATATGTATTATTATATACTAGTGTAACCCGACCTTCGGCTGGAACTGCACTGTCGCAGTTAAAACAGTACTAAAGTATGATTCTGGTTTTGGTTTAGATATCGGAGTATACAGGATGGCCCTGAGTAATAAGGTACATAAATATAACATGAATGCAGGGGTGTAGGAAGAGAGGGGGGCAGGGGGAGGCGGACAATTAGGCAGGGTGCTATGGGACACACTTAACTAAACAAGTAAACAGGCCGCATTAAACTAAATGTGAGAGTGCCCCTCACGTATCTGATAATAATACATAACAGACAATCTTGTGACTATATAATATTTGACTGTGGCCTGATGTTTAGAAACAGAATAGAAGAATAGACTAAACAAGCTTTGTTAAAATTTAGAATTACAGTTTTTATGAATCAAGTAACTCTAAATATACTATGTACTCATTACATTTTATTCCTTATCAAGATTTCACATTCACAGTCAATAGCTGTTATAGTCAATAGCTGTTATCAAATGTAAAATCGTCCGAAAGTTTCGTTAATAAAATGTCGAATATCACCGATCCGTAACTGTTTCACCAAGGTAAAGTCAAAGTTCAATGAACCAGCGGAAAATCTCACCAAAACGTTTTCCTCGTTACTTATCATGGGAACTATACTGGTACTATGGAGTACTATGGAGTACTATAGGGTACTGTACTGTCTCATATCAGTAACCCACATATCTAGCTACTATCTTCAAAATATTATACCCCCTCTCTCTCTTGGAGTCCTCATTCTATAGAAGCTGAACTGATTTAGGAGACTACGTTTTCCTCCAAGCAGCAGGATTGAGAACAGTGCTCCGTATATCACTGATATGAACTTCTGTAACTCGAGCTACAGAGTTAGGACTGGGTCATGGAATGCACTTCAGAGGAAGGTTAAGCTCTTGGTTTGGATATTTCTACCAAGTTCTTGGCCTTCATGAGGCGTAGCAGCCACTTAAAAGTTTTTCATTCAGTTTCTAAGTCTGTCTGATCCATAAAAAAGAACATGTTTTACGCACGCTTTTTACCAGACGTATTATTCTCCTAAACAGAGTTAGATGGTTGCTCGTATATAGTTTTCAGAGCCTCCCCCCTTGTAGTCTCCTTGTATGTCCCGTGTGGGTTATTCTTTGTAATCTCGTCAACAGACCCATACTCTCTCAGCATCCTCTCCCTGGCCCTCAGCTTGTGGTAGTTCCTCAGCACCTCATGCACATAGAACGCAAGGAAGTAGTAGATAACCGCAAGTATAGTCATGATGATGAGGAAGTTGCGGGGGTGCACTAGACTGGGTATAAAAGTAGAGACTGCCGCCCAGAACCCCTGAGAAGCTACCAGAGCAGCATACTTGAAGTCAGTGGACCACCCCATGGAGACTAGAGACAGGACCTCACAGGTTAGCAGTCCTGACCCTCCTCCCAGGAACATGCCCGCCATTGGGATGAGAAACGCTGCACTCCCTATCATGTAGAACTCATCACCAGCTATACAATCAGCAGGGAACAGAACACCAGTCAGGATGAAGCCCACTACTAGCAAGGTGGAGAGAACAGCAGAGGTGGTCAGCTCTGATTTGCCCTTGTAGGTAACGTACAGACTCATCACAAGGAACGCTATACCAAAGCACGTGACACTTTGTGCTTTAAAGCCGATACTAGCGGAACACACAGCAAACAGCTCCAACAGGATGCTACCCATGAAACCGTAGAACATCACCATGGCTCCCACCGCTGCGCACGCTTTACGACTCAGCTTTACTAGCTGTCTTGGTTCTGTCGGGGCCTCTATTTGTATTGTGTGGTACTTGTTAGACGAACACCTTTTAGCCAGGGAGGATGCTAGAATACAGCCCCCTCCTATGATGTAGATAGCTATAGCTGTCAGTATCTCCTTGGTGTTTTGTAACAGGTCTGTGGAGGTGATGGAGGTGGTGTTACTTGGGGTGATCTGGTCTGTTATGTTGATGAGTCCACTGTCGGGAACCTGAAAATAGAGTCACACAGTTAGAGGTGCAGCAAATCAGTAGGTTTGAAGCTAATGACGAAGTTAGCACTCAGTGCTAAAAATGTATCACCGAGCTATCGAGTATTCCTGTTCTCATTACTTGGTTTTTATTTATCGAAGCTGTTTGTCAGTACCATACTAAAGATAGCATCTGCGATACAAGCATATAACTATGTAAACTAGCATATTTAAAACCCCCTAACTTACGACAGTATCGCTGCTGGGTGATATAAATATGTAAACTAGCATATTTAAAACCCCCTAACTTACAACAGTATCGCTGCTGGGTGATATAAATATGTAAACTAGCATATTTAAAACCTCCTAACTTACGACAGTATCACTGCTGGGTGATATAAATATGTAAACTAGCATATTTAAAACCTCCTAACTTACGACAGTATCGCTGCTGGGTGATATAAATATGTAAACCAGCATATTTAAAACCCCCTAACTTACGACAGTATCGCTGCTGGGTGATATAAATATGTAAACTAGCATATTTAAAACCCCCTAACTTACGACAGTATCGCTGCTGGGTGATATAAAGGGGGCCGGGGGGGGGGCCAAGTGGATATTTGTAGATATTTGGATAATGTCATCCACTTTTTTCGTGAATTATCCATTACAATAATCTACAAATATCTACATTTATCTACAAAAAATGTATATCTCAAATATGTGCCCAGAAATTCTACTGAATTTTTGGAGATAAATGTATAAATTTGTAGAATGTCATCCACTTTTTTCGTGGATTATCCATTCTACATTAATCTACAAATATCTACAAATATCCACTTGGCCCCCCCCCCCCCCCCCCTATAAATATGTAAACTAGCATATTTAAAACATCCTAACTTACGACAGTATCGCTGCTGGGTGATATAAATATGTAAACTAGCATATTTAAAGCCCCCTAACTTACAACAGTATCGCTGCTGGGTGATATAAATATGTAAACTAGCATATTTAAAACATCCTAACTTACGACAGTATCGCTGCTGGGTGATATGAAGAACATCTGAATCCCAGCCACCGCGTAACTGAACCCCAGCGTAGCGGACCACCCACTAAAACTAGTGGTCCCGGGGAGGAAGGGATCTTTTCCTGCTATGATGTGGAGAAGGGCTGTGTTGATGATAGCGTTAGCTACTCCCAGGCAGATTGCTGCGGTACAAACATGTTACAGTTCAGCCAGTTTGTATAGTTAAATTACTTTATTTGTTGCTGTGTTTCGGTTTTTGGTGCACTGGAGGTCACATAGTTGTGTAGAGGTGAACAGCAGCTATCTCAGTAACTTACCCAGTCCAAAATGAACAGCAGGGGGGAGATGTAGTGACACTGTAATAAACCATGATCCACATAGCACCACTCCAAATACCAGAACTTTATTCTTGGAACATTTCTTTATCATGAGTGTGGCTAGTGGAGCAACAACTGAGAGGGAGGATTGTAACGTGGATAATAAAGTGTGTTTTCTTGGATAAATTTCGGGATCGATAGAAATTTACCCAAGGAAACATTTCAACTATGCGACTCATAAATAATATTCCAATCCGGATTTTACATAATAAAGTGTATTGTAAGAAGAAATTTATAAAGACTGTTTTCATTGAGTCTAATATTTGGCAGAGGGAGTAAACTAAATCTGCTAACAGTAAAACCCCGATTTATCGTGGCTGTAAATCAGGATTTTAATGTATATTTAATTAAGTTTATTATTTACTTGCTTGTGTAAAGAAAACTGTGATGTAAGTTATTTGCTCCGGACTGAGCGTCTCAGAACCATCAATCTGAAATAAAATATGTCAGCATAATCAGCATAATTAGCATAATAAGCTTAATTAAATTTTGTATTATTAGTTTAATTACACGTTATATAATTAAATAACATATACAATGTAACATTGTACATGTTATTGGTTATTGTGTTCATGCGGTAAAATTTAACATAATAAATTCATCAAATAACCCGTTCAAGGACCGTTTCCCTGAAAAATATTTGCTGTCTAATTACATGGACAAGTTGTGTACAGGGTGTCCCAAAAAAGACTACCCAATAAGAAACTCTCCTACTTTTTTCAGTTTTAACTCTTCTGGTTCTGATCTCTTGGTATTATTTTCTAAAGGATTAGGAGATTCGTTTAGGACCATTAGGAGTCTCATATGAACTTGATGGGCAACATATTTTCGATCTTAAAGATATGCGAAAAAATCTTGGTGTGATCCCAGAATAGGTGATAGTTTTCGTCCATGATGGAATGAGGAATCCTAGTTTTGAAACGTTTAGACAGCCCCAAGTTGTAAACCAGGTATATACAGACACAATAGAGAACTGAAATTGAGGTTTTTGATATGGTGCAGGGTCTTTTTTGTAGCATTTTCGGGCCACACCCTCTTTTTCCTTTAATGGCGTAATTTCTTCCTATTTTCATATTATTTTAAATTTTTGGCTACCTTACTCTGTCAGTTCACTTACCAAGGAACATGTAGGACCATTAAAGCTAGAAAATCAACAACTTTCGCATAAAAAATTGCATAGTTTATATGCAAATTTGGCCTATCGTCCATTTTTACCCTTTGGCCTGCTGGGAAAATGACCATTTGTGAGCACCTATTGGGATTTTAAGCATCAAAAGAGGTGTTAAAGAGTGAGATGAGACAACAAGGAACAGTTTGCAATCAAATTCATGAAAAAAGGTTTTTCCTCTTGGCTCAGCGCTCCGAATGGTGGACAAGCCCATAATTTGAGGACTATTTCGAAAAAATTTTAAATTTTTAAATAAGGACTCAAAATAGTTTGCTTAAGTTTTCAGAAGTCACAAACAAATCTCCCAACCCTTACCGTAAACATACGAAAACGAGTACCATTAAAGGAAAATTGAGGAAATGAGGAGGGTTTCTTACCGGGGCGTCTTTTTTGGACACCCTGTAGAAATGAACAAATAGTTCATGAATAGTTTTAATGAACAAATAGTTCATAAATGAACAAATAGTTTATAAATGAACTAATAGTTTATAAATGAACAAATAGTTTTAATAAACAAATAGTTTATAAATGAACAAATAGTTTTAATAAACAAATAGTTTATGAATGAACAAATATTACTCACTACGGAAGTAACATCTCGTTTTGGTGCTGTGGCGATGTGAACTAGTGTGAATCCAACACTGAGTAGCACTAGCATTAGGGGAGACATGATGTGTTGTTACTAGGTGTTACCAGGTGTTACTAGGTGTTACTAGGTGTTACCAATACCAGTTTTTACTTTTTTACCAGTTGTTACCTCAAGCGCTACTTCTTGTAACTAACTTTTTAGTTTTCTAGTCTAATTTCCATCCTGTACTGGGATATTATATGGATATCTAACACATTAATTAATAAGCTAATTAGTTACACAATCAGAACATTCTCTTCTCAATCTGAGTAGCGGTGAACAAGAAAATGAGTATCAAATCAACAAGAAAAGGGGTAAGAAAAGAAAAGCAAATGAGTAAAAATTTAACAAGAAAGTGGGTAAGGATAAACAAGAAAATGGCATACAAGGAAAGAGAGAGTTAGCTCATAAACTACTTCCTTTAGTTTAGATATGCTCTAAAAATCACGAACAATCTGGCTGTGGTAGAGCATCTATATTGGATAGTATTATGTTGGAATTTCTGGGAAATCCATAAATTCTGGGAATTCGTGTTCAGGGTTATACTTATAAAACGTAATATAATCTACATCCTATAACCTACATGCCATGACCCATCCTATTCCTACTTCCTATTTCATCATTATTTTATGACATAATATCCAAGACTGATTTCATAATTATTTACTAAAGATAATTTAAATATTTGAAACGATTAGTTAGTCGTACAAGGACTTAAACAAGAACCTTACAAATTAGTCAATTAGATAATAAGTTAATTCATAATTGTTTAATATATTGTTTTCAGTTACTCCCTCGGAAGAAGACCCCTACCTAATGTGGGCTGTTGATGGTCAAACTACTACATTCAGACCAGTCTTCAGAACACAACACAGCGCTGAGGAGGTTAGTATATCGCGGTAAATCGGGGCGCGGTAAATCAGGGTTTTACTGTAGTAGCATTAATAAAGATTAATCCCTAATTACTTTCTTGCCAGTAGTTTGCTGAACTTCTAGCAAAACTCAGAGGACCAATATATCTATCTTCATTCGTTAATCTTCCTAATCCCTAAACTTCAGCAGCGTTTAAATATTGACTAAATTTAAAATTAACTCTGTCTTCCTCCCCTTCAGATGACACTGTTACGTGAGAACAGCAGTGAGAGGGGGAAGAACACACTATCGTGTGTCTTTAGTCGACTTATTAAGTCCGCTACTGATATCGCCAGTAACACCCACAACACTGTAAGTTATATTATTGTCAGTATAATTGTCAAACCTCTCTATGTAAAACTCTCTCTGTAGGTTGTCTTTTTAGTTTCAACATATGCGCTCTGTTGGTTTTCTCTTTGAAGGTAGTCTCTCTAACTTACGCCCCTTATTTCAGCTGTGTGACTCAGTAAAGCCCTCCTGTGAAGAGACCCTACAAACCTGCTGGTCCTGGTTGGAACCTATAGTAACCAGTCTGGAGTCTCAGTTCCTGAAAGCTAAGGAGTTTGATCTGGAGCGGTACTCTGCTATGTTGAAACAAGGAGAGAGGAAGATAAGGACATTGTACAACCCTGGTAGTATGTCTAAAAGTAGCATCACTGCCTCTTTCTCTCAAGTAAGTAGGGACAGGGACAGGGACAGGGACAGGGACAGGGACAGGGACAGGGACAGGGACAGGGACAGGGACAGGGACAGGGACAGGGACAGGGACAGGGACAGGGACAGGGACAGGGACAGGGACAGGGACAGGGACAGGGACAGGGACAGGGACAGGGACAGGGATGATGACCAGCTTTTCTTTCAAATTCGAGAATTCGTCTTGATTAAGAAGCTATGTCAGTTCCTGGTTTGTTCACTGAGGGCCAGTGCTGAAGTGTTAAGCTGCACTATATTATTACTGTATTACCTTCAGGAGTACGTGATGTACCTGCTGAAGTGTTAAGCTGCACTATATTATAACTGTATTACCTTCAAAAGTACGTGATGTACCTGCTAGTACTGAAGTGTTAAGCTGCACTATATTATAACTGTATTACCTTCAGGAGTACGTGATGTACCTGCTGAAGTGTTAAGCTGCACTATATTATAACTGTATTACCTTCAGGAGTACGTGATGTACCTGCTGAAGTGTTTAGCTGCACTATATTATAACTGTATTACCTTCAGGAGTACGTGATGTACCTGCTTGTACTGAAGTGTTAAGCTGCACTATATTATAACTGTATTACCTTCAGGAGTACGTGATGTACCTGCTGAAGTGTTAAGCTGCACTATATTATAACTGTATTACCTTCAGGAGTACGTGATGTACCTGCTGAAGTGTTAAGCTGCACTATATTATAACTGTATTACCTTCAGGAGTACGTGATGTACCTGCTAGACTCACACACTACCAACTCCAGCAACTCACTCCCCATACTCGACATTAAGAGCTACAAACACATAGTGTATGTGTTCGACACAATGTTCTATGTAATCTCCAAGTGGCCCCGAGTAGCCAGCAGAGGAGATGGTGCTGGTTCCAGTAGTGGGACTGGTTCTCTGAGCTCTGGTACTTTCCTCAAGAGATCTCCTTCACTGGACTTCGGGCAGGAGGGTAGAGTGGGAGCGGGGGACACAGTGGTCAACAAGGATTTAGATAGGTCGGTAATAACAGTAGTTCCTGCTGTCTGTCAAACCATTCTCAACTTTAACATTACATTCTTTATTTTGTTAAAGCCAATATAAAGTGAATAAGCTCATTAAATTGTAACTTATTCGAAATAAGTAATGATGACTGACTGACTGTTCCCCACCCAGGCCTGTACACGTACAGCTCCCTCTGACTGACTGTTCCCCACCCAGGCCTGTACACGTACAGCTCCCTCTGACTGACTGTTCCCCACCCAGGCCTGTACACGTACAGCTCCCTCTGACTGACTGTTCCCCACCCAGGCCTGTACACGTACAGCTCCCTCTGACTGACTGTTCCCCACCCAGGCCTGTACACGTACAGCTCCCTCTGACTGACTGTTCCCACCCAGGCCTGTACACGTACAGCTCCCTCTGACTGACTGTTCCCCACCCAGGCCTGTACACGTACAGCTCCCTCTGACTGACTGTTCCCCACCCAGGCCTGTACACGTACAGCTCCCTCTGACTGACTGTTCCCCACCCAGGCCTGTACACGTACAGCTCCCTCTGACTGACTGTTCCCCACCCAGGCCTGTACACGTACAGCTCCCTCTGACTGACTGTTCCCCACCCAGGCCTGTACACGTACAGCTCCCTCTGACTGACTGTTCCCCACCCAGGCCTGTACACGTACAGCTCCCTCTGACTGACTGTTCCCCACCCAGGCCTGTACACGTACAGCTCCCTCTGACTGACTGTTCCCCACCCAGGCCTGTACACGTACAGCTCCCTCTGACTGACTGTTCCCCACCCAGGCCTGTACACGTACAGCTCCCTCTGACTGACTGTTCCCCACCCAGGCCTGTACACGTACAGCTCCCTCTGACTGACTGTTCCCCACCCAGGCCTGTACACGTACAGCTCCCTCTGACTGACTGTTCCCCACCCAGGCCTGTACACGTACAGCTCCCTCTGACTGACTGTTCCCCACCCAGGCCTGTACACGTACAGCTCCCTCTGACTGACTGTTCCCCACCCAGGCCTGTACACGTACAGCTCCCTCTGACTGACTGTTCCCCACCCAGGCCTGTACACGTACAGCTCCCTCTGACTGACTGTTCCCCACCCAGGCCTGTACACGTACAGCTCCCTCTGACTGACTGTTCCCCACCCAGGCCTGTACACGTACAGCTCCCTCTGACTGACTGTTCCCCACCCAGGCCTGTACACGTACAGCTCCCTCTGACTGACTGTTCCCCACCCAGGCCTGTACACGTACAGCTCCCTCTGACTGACTGTTCCCCACCCAGGCCTGTACACGTACAGCTCCCTCTGACTGACTGTTCCCCACCCAGGCCTGTACACGTACAGCTCCCTCTGACTGACTGTTCCCCACCCAGGCCTGTACACGTACAGCTCCCTCTGACTGACTGTTCCCCACCCAGGCCTGTACACGTACAGCTCCCTCTGACTGACTGTTCCCCACCCAGGCCTGTACACGTACAGCTCCCTCTGACTGACTGTTCCCCACCCAGGCCTGTACACGTACAGCTCCCTCTGACTGACTGTTCCCCACCCAGGCCTGTACACGTACAGCTCCCTCTGACTGACTGTTCCCCACCCAGGCCTGTACACGTACAGCTCCCTCTGACTGACTGTTCCCCACCCAGGCCTGTACACGTACAGCTCCCTCTGACTGACTGTTCCCCACCCAGGCCTGTACACGTACAGCTCCCTCTGACTGACTGTTCCCCACCCAGGCCTGTACACGTACAGCTCCCTCTGACTGACTGTTCCCCACCCAGGCCTGTACACGTACAGCTCCCTCTGACTGACTGTTCCCCACCCAGGCCTGTACACGTACAGCTCCCTCTGACTGACTGTTCCCCACCCAGGCCTGTACACGTACAGCTCCCTCTGACTGACTGTTCCCCACCCAGGCCTGTACACGTACAGCTCCCTCTGACTGACTGTTCCCCACCCAGGCCTGTACACGTACAGCTCCCTCTGACTGACTGTTCCCCACCCAGGCCTGTACACGTACAGCTCCCTCTGACTGACTGTTCCCCACCCAGGCCTGTACACGTACAGCTCCCTCTGACTGACTGTTCCCCACCCAGGCCTGTACACGTACAGCTCCCTCTGACTGACTGTTCCCCACCCAGGCCTGTACACGTACAGCTCCCTCTGACTGACTGTTCCCCACCCAGGCCTGTACACGTACAGCTCCCTCTGACTGACTGTTCCCCACCCAGGCCTGTACACGTACAGCTCCCTCTGACTGACTGTTCCCCACCCAGGCCTGTACACGTACAGCTCCCTCTGACTGACTGTTCCCCACCCAGGCCTGTACACGTACAGCTCCCTCTGACTGACTGTTCCCCACCCAGGCCTGTACACGTACAGCTCCCTCTGACTGACTGTTCCCCACCCAGGCCTGTACACGTACAGCTCCCTCTGACTGACTGTTCCCCACCCAGGCCTGTACACGTACAGCTCCCTCTGACTGACTGTTCCCCACCCAGGCCTGTACACGTACAGCTCCCTCTGACTGACTGTTCCCCACCCAGGCCTGTACACGTACAGCTCCCTCTGACTGACTGTTCCCCACCCAGGCCTGTACACGTACAGCTCCCTCTGACTGACTGTTCCCCACCCAGGCCTGTACACGTACAGCTCCCTCTGACTGACTGTTCCCCACCCAGGCCTGTACACGTACAGCTCCCTCTGACTGACTGTTCCCCACCCAGGCCTGTACACGTACAGCTCCCTCTGACTGACTGTTCCCCACCCAGGCCTGTACACGTACAGCTCCCTCTGACTGACTGTTCCCCACCCAGGCCTGTACACGTACAGCTCCCTCTGACTGACTGTTCCCCACCCAGGCCTGTACACGTACAGCTCCCTCTGACTGACTGTTCCCCACCCAGGCCTGTACACGTACAGCTCCCTCTGACTGACTGTTCCCCACCCAGGCCTGTACACGTACAGCTCCCTCTGACTGACTGTTCCCCACCCAGGCCTGTACACGTACAGCTCCCTCTGACTGACTGTTCCCCACCCAGGCCTGTACACGTACAGCTCCCTCTGACTGACTGTTCCCCACCCAGGCCTGTACACGTACAGCTCCCTCTGACTGACTGTTCCCCACCCAGGCCTGTACACGTACAGCTCCCTCTGACTGACTGTTCCCCACCCAGGCCTGTACACGTACAGCTCCCTCTGACTGACTGTTCCCCACCCAGGCCTGTACACGTACAGCTCCCTCTGACTGACTGTTCCCCACCCAGGCCTGTACACGTACAGCTCCCTCTGACTGACTGTTCCCCACCCAGGCCTGTACACGTACAGCTCCCTCTGACTGACTGTTCCCCACCCAGGCCTGTACACGTACAGCTCCCTCTGACTGACTGTTCCCCACCCAGGCCTGTACACGTACAGCTCCCTCTGACTGACTGTTCCCCACCCAGGCCTGTACACGTACAGCTCCCTCTGACTGACTGTTCCCCACCCAGGCCTGTACACGTACAGCTCCCTCTGACTGACTGTTCCCCACCCAGGCCTGTACACGTACAGCTCCCTCTGACTGACTGTTCCCCACCCAGGCCTGTACACGTACAGCTCCCTCTGACTGACTGTTCCCCACCCAGGCCTGTACACGTACAGCTCCCTCTGACTGACTGTTCCCCACCCAGGCCTGTACACGTACAGCTCCCTCTGACTGACTGTTCCCCACCCAGGCCTGTACACGTACAGCTCCCTCTGACTGACTGTTCCCCACCCAGGCCTGTACACGTACAGCTCCCTCTGACTGACTGTTCCCCACCCAGGCCTGTACACGTACAGCTCCCTCTGACTGACTGTTCCCCACCCAGGCCTGTACACGTACAGCTCCCTCTGACTGACTGTTCCCCACCCAGGCCTGTACACGTACAGCTCCCTCTGACTGACTGTTCCCCACCCAGGCCTGTACACGTACAGCTCCCTCTGACTGACTGTTCCCCACCCAGGCCTGTACACGTACAGCTCCCTCTGACTGACTGTTCCCCACCCAGGCCTGTACACGTACAGCTCCCTCTGACTGACTGTTCCCCACCCAGGCCTGTACACGTACAGCTCCCTCTGACTGACTGTTCCCCACCCAGGCCTGTACACGTACAGCTCCCTCTGACTGACTGTTCCCCACCCAGGCCTGTACACGTACAGCTCCCTCTGACTGACTGTTCCCCACCCAGGCCTGTACACGTACAGCTCCCTCTGACTGACTGTTCCCCACCCAGGCCTGTACACGTACAGCTCCCTCTGACTGACTGTTCCCCACCCAGGCCTGTACACGTACAGCTCCCTCTGACTGACTGTTCCCCACCCAGGCCTGTACACGTACAGCTCCCTCTGACTGACTGTTCCCCACCCAGGCCTGTACACGTACAGCTCCCTCTGACTGACTGTTCCCCACCCAGGCCTGTACACGTACAGCTCCCTCTGACTGACTGTTCCCCACCCAGGCCTGTACACGTACAGCTCCCTCTGACTGACTGTTCCCCACCCAGGCCTGTACACGTACAGCTCCCTCTGACTGACTGTTCCCCACCCAGGCCTGTACACGTACAGCTCCCTCTGACTGACTGTTCCCCACCCAGGCCTGTACACGTACAGCTCCCTCTGACTGACTGTTCCCCACCCAGGCCTGTACACGTACAGCTCCCTCTGACTGACTGTTCCCCACCCAGGCCTGTACACGTACAGCTCCCTCTGACTGACTGTTCCCCACCCAGGCCTGTACACGTACAGCTCCCTCTGACTGACTGTTCCCCACCCAGGCCTGTACACGTACAGCTCCCTCTGACTGACTGTTCCCCACCCAGGCCTGTACACGTACAGCTCCCTCTGACTGACTGTTCCCCACCCAGGCCTGTACACGTACAGCTCCCTCTGACTGACTGTTCCCCACCCAGGCCTGTACACGTACAGCTCCCTCTGACTGACTGTTCCCCACCCAGGCCTGTACACGTACAGCTCCCTCTGACTGACTGTTCCCCACCCAGGCCTGTACACGTACAGCTCCCTCTGACTGACTGTTCCCCACCCAGGCCTGTACACGTACAGCTCCCTCTGACTGACTGTTCCCCACCCAGGCCTGTACACGTACAGCTCCCTCTGACTGACTGTTCCCCACCCAGGCCTGTACACGTACAGCTCCCTCTGACTGACTGTTCCCCACCCAGGCCTGTACACGTACAGCTCCCTCTGACTGACTGTTCCCCACCCAGGCCTGTACACGTACAGCTCCCTCTGACTGACTGTTCCCCACCCAGGCCTGTACACGTACAGCTCCCTCTGACTGACTGTTCCCCACCCAGGCCTGTACACGTACAGCTCCCTCTGACTGACTGTTCCCCACCCAGGCCTGTACACGTACAGCTCCCTCTGACTGACTGTTCCCCACCCAGGCCTGTACACGTACAGCTCCCTCTGACTGACTGTTCCCCACCCAGGCCTGTACACGTACAGCTCCCTCTGACTGACTGTTCCCCACCCAGGCCTGTACACGTACAGCTCCCTCTGACTGACTGTTCCCCACCCAGGCCTGTACACGTACAGCTCCCTCTGACTGACTGTTCCCCACCCAGGCCTGTACACGTACAGCTCCCTCTGACTGACTGTTCCCCACCCAGGCCTGTACACGTACAGCTCCCTCTGACTGACTGTTCCCCACCCAGGCCTGTACACGTACAGCTCCCTCTGACTGACTGTTCCCCACCCAGGCCTGTACACGTACAGCTCCCTCTGACTGACTGTTCCCCACCCAGGCCTGTACACGTACAGCTCCCTCTGACTGACTGTTCCCCACCCAGGCCTGTACACGTACAGCTCCCTCTGACTGACTGTTCCCCACCCAGGCCTGTACACGTACAGCTCCCTCTGACTGACTGTTCCCCACCCAGGCCTGTACACGTACAGCTCCCTCTGACTGACTGTTCCCCACCCAGGCCTGTACACGTACAGCTCCCTCTGACTGACTGTTCCCCACCCAGGCCTGTACACGTACAGCTCCCTCTGACTGACTGTTCCCCACCCAGGCCTGTACACGTACAGCTCCCTCTGACTGACTGTTCCCCACCCAGGCCTGTACACGTACAGCTCCCACTGACTGACTGTTCCCCACCCAGGCCTGTACACGTACAGCTCCCTCTGACTGACTGTTCCCCACCCAGGCCTGTACACGTACAGCTCCCTCTGACTGACTGTTCCCCACCCAGGCCTGTACACGTACAGCTCCCTCTGACTGACTGTTCCCCACCCAGGCCTGTACACGTACAGCTCCCTCTGACTGACTGTTCCCCACCCAGGCCTGTACACGTACAGCTCCCTCTGACTGACTGTTCCCCACCCAGGCCTGTACACGTACAGCTCCCTCTGACTGACTGTTCCCCACCCAGGCCAGTACACGTACAGCTCCCTCTGACTGACTGTTCCCCACCCAGGCCTGTACACGTACAGCTCCCTCTGACTGACTGTTCCCCACCCAGGCCTGTACACGTACAGCTCCCTCTGACTGACTGTTCCCCACCCAGGCCTGTACACGTACAGCTCCCTCTGACTGACTGTTCCCCACCCAGGCCTGTACACGTACAGCTCCCTCTGACTGACTGTTCCCCACCCAGGCCTGTACACGTACAGCTCCCTCTGACTGACTGTTCCCCACCCAGGCCTGTACACGTACAGCTCCCTCTGACTGACTGTTCCCCACCCAGGCCTGTACACGTACAGCTCCCTCTGACTGGCTGTTCCCCACCCAGGCCTGTACACGTACAGCTCCCTCTGGCTCTACAACCTCACCTCCTCACTCCCATGGCAACCAGAGAAACTCTCTTCTCCACCGTCTACACATCTGATAAGAAGGAGTCAGCTAACTGCTGGAGAGGGAAAGAGTCCCTGAAACAGGCTCTTAAAAGAAAGAGCAAGCTCCTTAAATACACTCCTGCAGAGTTCCTGTCCTCGTTTGAGTCCACAACCCGGGTATTTAGTACGTACTACCTGGGAGAGGGACCTGGTATTGAAAAGGATAGTGTTCTTAATCTCAAGGCTTGCTACTCTGGTAAAACTGCAAGGTCAGTTGTGTTTCTCTGAGAAATATTAGACTGTAGTTTATCATCTTGTCAACTCACTGGCTCACAGCCAACTGTTCTCAGAATTCAGATACTAACCAACTTACCAACACTGGTTTAAATTCAGGTCAACTTACAACCTCAGTTCACTCTGGATTTTGGAAACCAATAAAAAGATAATGTCTATCACTTCACCTGTAAAGGAGAGTGTACACTGTACACTGTACACTGTACACTGTGCACTGTACACTGTACACTGTACACTGTACACTGTATACTGTACACTGTACACTGTACACTGTGCACTGTACACTGTACACTGTACACTGTACACTGTACACTGTACACTGTACACTGTACACTGTACACTGTACACTACTTCACGTATCTAACAGTACCATGTTTAGGTTCATCAGGCAGATAAAGGAAGTTAAACTGCTGGTACAATCCCAGAACAGGCAGGAGATGAGGGATCTGCCTCCTCGTATCTACAATCTACACATCTACATTAATAGAAGCAGACTTCTATCTGACTCTATTAAAGCTCTGTTGGAGATGACACAACTCCACCCTGTTAACTACAGCGTTAAGTTCGAGGGAGAAGAGGGTGGGGGTCCTGGTGTGAATAGAGGTGAGATAATTAGTTAATTAGTTAATGGCACACTCAAGTTCTAGATAACAGATAGTGTAAAGCACAAAGCTGCTTTCTTATCTTACATTAAGAAAATAAAGAACCAAATAACAGTACATTCCTCATAATGGCGACATTAACCGGCACCCTCATCCATAGTTACACTACTAGTTACCTTAGTTACACTACTAGTTACCTTAGTTACACTACTAGTCACCATAGTTATACTACTAGTTACCCTCCTCCCTCAGGATGGTTCAGTGTCCTGTGCTCCTCCCTCAGAGACAAGACCAAGTACCCAGACAAAACTCTCCCACTATTCCAGTGTCCGGGGAGACTCCCCGAACAAGCTGAGAACATGTCGCCCCTCCCCTGGGACCCCTCCCTCTACCACAACAACTCTCTCCTCTACAAGCAGAGAATAGAGGGGTTCCGAGCGTGTGGCAGGTTCCTGGGACTGGCCCTCTGGTTTAAGCAGACCCTGCCTATTAAACTGTGCAGACACGTGTGGAAGTACTTGCTGGGGAGGGAGCTGTGTTGGGCTGATCTAGCGTTCTATAACAGTGACCTGTACGAGGGACTCAGGGCTATGTTGAATGATGCTAAGTGGATGACGGAGGCGGAGTTTGTGGAGGTGTATCCTTGTACTTTCGAGGTCGAGGTAATTAGTTAATTAGTTAATTGGGGCAATTATTGGTTATTTCTCTATTTATTCCTCAACTTTTGGTAAAATTGGCATCGATTGGCATTGCTGTTTTAAGGGGGCAGGGGGGTCTTCAGGAAAATTCTCTCGAAATTGACTTTACAGTTGTTTCTGATAGAGGGGAGTGATAACTATCAGTTGCTTTTAGTCCCATGGAAAAATGTATTTCATATCCGAAATTATCGCCGGTTAAAGGTCTGCGCTTACGTGTAATTGTATTGCGCGAGGAGGACGCCCGTCGCGCGATTGAAACCCCTCTCTCCCCCTACTAATAACCCCTCTCCCCCTACTAATAACCCCTCTCCCCCTACTAATAACCCCTCTCCCCCTACTAATAACCCCTCTCCCCCTACTAATAACCCCTCTCTCCCCCTACTAATAACCCCTCTCTCCCTACTAATAACCCCTCTCTCCCCCTACTAATAACCCCTCTCTCCCCCTACTAATAACCCCTCTCCCCCTACTAATAACCCCTCTCCCCCTACTATTAACCCCTCTCCCCCTACTAATAACCTCTCTCCCCCTACTAATAACCCCTCTCTCCCCTACTAGTAACCCCTCTCCCCCTACTAATAACCCCTCTCCCCCTACTAATAACCCCTCTCCCCCTACTAATAACCCCTCTCTCCCCTACTAATAACCCCTCTCCCCCTACTAGTAACCCCTCTCCCCTACTAGTAACCCCTCTCTCCCCTACTAGTAACCCCTCTCCCCCTACTTATAACCCATCTCCCCCTACTAGTAACCCCTCTCCCCTACTAATAACCCCTCTCTCCCCTACTAGTAACCCCTCTCCCCCTACTTATAACCCCTCTCCCCCTACTAATAACCCCTCTCCCCCAGATAATAACCCCTCTCCCCCTACTAATAACCCCTCTCCCCCTACTAATAACCCCTCTCCCTCTACTAATAACCCCTCTCCCCCAGATAAACGGCAGATCACGTGAACTGAAACCTGGTGGAAGTCAGCTGCCTCTCACTAAGCTGAATGTAGAGGAGTACATACAGGTAACAGACACACTACACACTTCAAAACACAAGCTATTGAAAATTGAAATCTTTCGCTGTACATGTATTTAACACTCAGAAAACAACTGATCCCAAACTATCGTAATTGTATGAAATGTTCTAAAGTTCTAACATTACTTTACAGTACTACATAATTAATACTACATAATTAGTACACCTTTGCAGTGCGAGCTTGTTTCGACTGTCGAGGATGTAGGTCTCACTTCTCAGTGCCTATTACTCTCCCCTATTACTCACTCCTGCTGTAGCCTGTAGAAATAACTTTACACTAGGCTTGAGTAATTATGAGTTTGCCTGAAGTGTGCCTCTACTAACCTAGTATAAGCATCTAGTAGCCTACTATGAGCTTTCATAAGCTTGTTACGCCCCTAGTAAGCGTAAATAAACATGCTAGGATGTCCAATTTAGGTGTTAAATGGTGTTAAAGATGAAATTTCGAAGACAAAATGCATGGCATAAAATGGAGAAAATGGAGAATTACTCATGGGTTTTTACATTTTCTCCATAGAAAAAGTCTCCATTTTAAGCCATTTTATGCCATTTTATGCCATTGGCCCCCCCCCCCCCCTACATGTCTATGTATTTAACACTTTAACACTTAGAAAACAGCTGATCCCAAACTATTGTAATTGTATGAAATGTTCTAAAGTTCTAACATTACTTTACAGTACTACATAATTAATACTACATAATTAGTAACTAGTAGAACTGAAGGTAGTAAGGAGGGATATAAGTAAAAGAGAGGGTATTGTTCAGGGTTACAGCGAGCAGCTCATGGTGCACTCAGTAAAGGAGGAGTTGGCGGCACTAAAACAGGGCTTTACAGATATCATCCCTCCCCATGTACTAGCAGGTCAGTACTTTTCATGTTCAGTGAAAACTAATTTAACTAAATTAAACTAATTAAACTAAATTAAATAATTAAACTAATTAGTAGTAGCCATTTAGTGGTTATCTAAGTGAGTAGTAGCATGATTCATCTTCCTGTTTTAGTATAGAGCAAGATGCTACACTAGAGCAAGAGCAGTGACTAACAACACTTAACTGTTATGATCACCTCAGTATTATCCTCTATATTAAATAATTAAATAATAATTAATTAATTAATTAATTAATACCCTCGTAATGTGACATCTCTTCACAGGACTAACAGCTGAAGATCTGACTCTCCTCCTGTCCGGGGGGTGTGGAGAAATCCCATTTGAGAAGCTGTGTAGTATTATCACCTTCGTTAACAGCATCGGCTGCAGTCAGAAACGTCTTGAACAGTTCAAGAGGTGGTTCTGGAAGATCGTAAAGGATATGAACCAAGCCGAGAGACAACAACTGCTCTACTTCGCTACAGGTACAAGTTCACTTTCAATTTCAATTTCTTATTTCGGACATTACGAAATCCAAAATTTTGACTTCCAGTACCTCAATTTGGACTCATACCACCCTCAGTTAACTAACTAATTGGTCACTGAACAAAAAATAAATCAAATCTGTCAAATTTGTGTTCAGAAATTTTCATATTTGAAAATGGGACAGACTTTTGAAAAATATGAATTTTCGTTTTGTAACGCTTTCTCTAGTAAGCTTCCTCCGACCGAAATCAAACTTCCAGCACCTCAATCGTGTCATTTGGTATCTATAGTTGACTTATTAATTGGTTGCAGGTGAAAAAATCAGTAAAAACTGTAAAATTTCGGTCCTGGAAATTTCATCTTCAAAAACTGAAAATGGGACAGAGATTGGGACAATACAATTTTGCAATTTTATTCGGGATTTTGACTCCCAGTACCTCAATTTGGTTTCATACCATCATCAATTAACTGACTAATTGGTTTCTGGGCAAAAATTTCATCCAATCTGTCAAATTTGTGTTCTGAAAATTTCATATTTGAAAATGGGACAGACTTTTGAAAATACAACTTTTCGTTTTGTTAAGCTTTCTGCTGTGGGCTTCCTCCGACCGGAATCGAACTTCCAGCACCTCAATCGTGTCATTTGGTATCTATAGTTGACTTACTAATTGGTTGCAGGTGAAAAAATCAGTCAAAACTGTAAAATTTCGGTCCTGGAAATTTTATCTTCAAAAACTGAAATGGGACAGAGATTAGGACAATATGATTTTGCAATTTTATTCGGAATTTAGACTCCCTGCAGTACCTCAATTCGGTTTCATACCATCATCAGTTTACTTATTAATTGGTCATTGAGCAAAAAGTCCGTCAAATCTGTCAAATTTGTGTTCAGAAATTGTCGCATTTGAAAGTGGGACAGAATTTGGAATATATGAATTAAAGCTAAGCTTCCTGTAGTAAGCTTCCTCCGACTGGAATAAAACTTCCAGTACCTCAATTGTATCTGAATATACGATCTATAGTTAAATGACGTACCCCTCCCCCCCCTCCCCCCCCCCCCAAATGTTACCCCCTGTAACCCCCTGTATTTACTCCAGGAAGCTCGACTCTTCCTCCACTGGACCACAACACTGAGCGGTCACGTGACAGGATCAGTATCACAGTAGACATACAACACGACTCTAGGAACGCCCTGCCCATGGCTTCTACCTGTGGACAGAGGATCTCAATACCACTCTACCGTTCTTACTCAATGTTAAAGGATAAACTATCACTAGCATTGCAGTGTCTTAGTTACGGACTGGGTTAAGATAATGGGTGAACTGTGTTGCCATGGTTACCATGGTTACAGTGGTTACTGTGGTTACTGGGGTTAGTAGTGGTTATGTTACCATGGTTACATTGGTTACTGGTTGTGAGACTATGGTTACTATTATAGTCAGACTGAACTTGTAGTAAAGTTTATCACTGCTACATTTTATATTTCTGTGGAATGTCTGGAAATGTGCTACTACAAATTTACAGATTACTTTTATCTGAAGTGTGATATTAGCTGATCTGTTGCTAAATTTAATACTATAGATAAACTGGAAGGTGCTCATTGTTTTAACTTAATAATTTTATTAAAATAGTAATTATTTTGATATTTTAACTCATTACGGGTATCGGCCTTACAAAATGACAGGCCTCACAAAATGACAGCCCACATAGACCATGCTGTATCTTAGGTTCCCTATACATTGAACCCTATACCTTCTACTGTATGAAAGAAAAAGCATTAATTAACACTTCCCAAGGAATGATAATGACATAGAATCTATATTTCTTACATAAATATGGACGTTTTTGCTGTTCAGTCATTGCCCCGCCTAACTGTTACCCAGAATGGAGACCAAAGTTTAGAATTTAACCCCAGAAAACCAGGTACTACCATGACTTATGTCAATCAAAGACTACTCTGGTCAAATAAAAAAACTGATTTAGTGACTTTGGTAGAAGAAATGACAAAAAAATGACCTAGCCTCACAAAATGACAGTGTTATGCCTCACAAAATGACAGTTTTATTTTATGATACAAAGATGGCATATTTATATTGGATGCCCCTTGCCTAATTATTGGTATTCTTAAACCCAGTAAGCTTATGATGAGCCTAAATGTGTTTGTTTAATCATCAATTTTGATCAAAATGCCTCACAAAATGACACCGAAAAGCCTTACAAAATGACAATGTTTCAGATTGAATTACTTTCATCATCTAAAATGGATCCGAAGCAGTCAATACAAGAAGGAGTTACAAATAATCAAAATCTGACAGTTAACAATCAAGTAGCATTACAAAAGTGCAGTTCTGATATCAAAACTTTGATTTCAAACACTTTGATTTCAAACTCTGATTTCAAAACTTAACGAAATAAAGCTTCTATTTTGTGAACGCAGAGAGTAATAAAAACTCCTAAAACATGTCAAACGTTAACTAAACGCTGAAAAGTGATCTATCCAGTCATAGAAAATATCAAATATAACCAAATACTGTGTTCAAGTATGAAAACAAAAAATGATTTTTACGCCTCACAAAATGACATTTTTAAAATTTTTTCAGAGTATAAAAAATGTTCCTTTTTTAATATACTCTGGTAAAAACTAAACTGGTATAATATAAACAACATATATATATCTAACAGTAAGACACGTGAAAGAATAATGAAACTTTTTCCCAAATCGGATTTGAAGTGATGCCGTTTTGGGTTGTCATTTTGTAAGGCACTATCTCACGCGAAATTGCCCAACTTTTTTTAATCGTCCTTTTTCCTGTAAAAGCTATTCCAATCTTCAATCTATTATATTTATCTAACTGTCCTAGGTGAAATCAAATTGCTATAGGCTGCTTTTAAAGAAATGACAGCCGTGACGAAATTGTCATTTTGTAAGGCATGTTTTTTTTGAAGATTTCAAAGATGACAATTTTTATCGCAAAATTTACGGTTTTTCAATCAAATCAACCCCCGGGAAGAAAAATATACCTGTTGAACTACCTATCTGGATAATAAAACATGAACAAAACTCATTTTTGTGCATTTCAGAGCCATCTCCTTTTTCGTGTCATTTTGTAAGGCCGATACCCGTAACGGTTTTACAATGCAAAATCAATTATTGATAACTGCAATTACAAAGATTTTGGAAGGCTAATTGTAACCACGGGGTAACGACATAATTCAAATTTCTCATACTTTTATATTATATTTACCGTTTAGATTTTCCACCTGAAAAATTATTCTAATTTATTTATTTTACCTATCCAGTCGCAAAGATTTTTTATCGTATTCGATCGTTTTTTTCTTTGTTCTCATTTTGATATTTTCTGGGTTTATCGCTAAACTTCTCTCTCTTCCTCCCCTCCTCCTCCCTTCCTACTGATGGAGAACTGTTGTATGCAGGAGTACGGGGAAGTGTCACTTCTCTCTTCCTCCCCTCCTCCTCCCTTCCTACTGATGGAGAACTGTTGTATGCAGGAGTACGGGGAAGTGTCACTTCTCTCTTCCTCCCCTCCTCCTCCCTTCCTACTGATGGAGAACTGTTGTATGCAGGAGTACGGGGAAGTGTCACTTCTCTCTTCCTCCCCTCCTCCTCCCTTCCTACTGATGGAGAACTGTTGTAGGCAGGAGTACGGGAAAGTGTCACTTCTCTCTTCCTCCCCTCCTCCTCCCTTCCTACTGATGGAGAACTGTTGTATGCAGGAGTACGGGGAAGTGTCACTTCTCTCTTCCTCCCCTCCTCCTCCCTTCCTACTGATGGAGAACTGTTGTATGCAGGAGTACGGGGAAGTGTCACTTCTCTCTTCCTCCCCTCCTCCTCCCTTCCTACTGATGGAGAACTGTTGTATGCAGGAGTACGGGGAAGTGTCACTTCTCTCTTCCTCCCCTCCTCCTCCCTTCCTACTGATGGAGAACTGTTGTATGCAGGAGTACGGGGAAGTGTCACTTCTCTCTTCCTCCCCTCCTCCTCCCTTCCTACTGATGGAGAACTGTTGTATGCAGGAGTACGGGGAAGTGTCACTTCTCTCTTCCTCCCCTCCTCCTCCCTTCCTACTGATGGAGAACTGTTGTATGCAGGAGTACGGGGAAGTGTCACTTCTCTCTTCCTCCCCTCCTCCTCCCTTCCTACTGATGGAGAACTGTTGTATGCAGGAGTACGGGGAAGTGTCACTTCTCTCTTCCTCTCCTCCTCCTCCCTTCCTACTGATGGAGAACTGTTGTATGCAGGAGTACGGGGAAGTGTCACTTCTCTCTTCCTCCCCTCCTCCTCCCTTCCTACTGATGGAGAACTGTTGTATGCAGGAGTACGGGGAAGTGTCACTTCTCTCTTCCTCCCCTCCTCCTCCCTTCCTACTGATGGAGAACTGTTGTATGCAGGAGTACGGGGAAGTGTCACTTCTCTCTTCCTCCCCTCCTCCTCCCTTCCTACTGATGGAGAACTGTTGTATGCAGGAGTACGGGGAAGTGTCACTTCTCTCTTCCTCCCCTCCTCCTCCCTTCCTACTGATGGAGAACTGTTGTATGCAGGAGTACGGGGAAGTGTCACTTCTCTCTTCCTCCCCTCCTCCTCCCTTCCTACTGATGGAGAACTGTTGTATGCAGGAGTACGGGGAAGTGTCACTTCTCTCTTCCTCCCCTCCTCCTCCCTTCCTACTGATGGAGAACTGTTGTATGCAGGAGTACGGGGAAGTGTCACTTCTCTCTTCCTCCCCTCCTCCTCCCTTCCTACTGATGGAGAACTGTTGTATGCAGGAGTACGGGGAAGTGTCACTTCTCTCTTCCTCTCCTCCTCCTCCCTTCCTACTGATGGAGAACTGTTGTATGCAGGAGTACGGGGAAGTGTCACTTCTCTCTTCCTCCCCTCCTCCTCCCTTCCTACTGATGGAGAACTGTTGTATGCAGGAGTACGGGGAAGTGTCACTTCTCTCTTCCTCCCCTCCTCCTCCCTTCTACTGATGGAGAACTGTTGTATGCAGGAGTACGGGGAAGTGTCACTTCTCTCTTCCTCCCCTCCTCCTCCCTTCCTACTGATGGAGAACTGTTGTATGCAGGAGTACGGGGAAGTGTCACTTCTCTCTTCCTCCCCTCCTCCTCCCTTCCTACTGATGGAGAACTGTTGTATGCAGGAGTACGGGGAAGTGTCACTTCTCTCTTCCTCCCCTCCTCCTCCCTTCCTACTGATGGAGAACTGTTGTATGCAGGAGTACGGGGAAGTGTCACTTCTCTCTTCCTCCCCTCCTCCTCCCTTCCTACTGATGGAGAACTGTTGTATGCAGGAGTACGGGGAAGTGTCACTTCTCTCTTCCTCCCCTCCTCCTCCCTTCCTACTGATGGAGAACTGTTGTATGCAGGAGTACGGGGAAGTGTCACTTCTCTCTTCCTCCCCTCCTCCTCCCTTCCTACTGATGGAGAACTGTTGTATGCAGGAGTACGGGGAAGTGTCACTTCTCTCTTCCTCCCCTCCTCCTCCCTTCCTACTGATGGAGAACTGTTGTATGCAGGAGTACGGGGAAGTGTCACTTCTCTCTTCCTCCCCTCCTCCTCCCTTCCTACTGATGGAGAACTGTTGTATGCAGGAGTACGGGGAAGTGTCACTTCTCTCTTCCTCTCCTCCTCCTCCCTTCCTACTGATGGAGAACTGTTGTATGCAGGAGTACGGGGAAGTGTCACTTCTCTCTTCCTCTCCTCCTCCTCCCTTCCTACTGATGGAGAACTGTTGTATGCAGGAGTACGGGGAAGTGTCACTTCTCTCTTCCTCCCCTCCTCCTCCCTTCCTACTGATGGAGAACTGTTGTATGCAGGAGTACGGGGAAGTGTCACTTCTCTCTTCCTCCCCTCCTCCTCCCTTCCTACTGATGGAGAACTGTTGTATGCAGGAGTACGGGGAAGTGTCACTTCTCTCTTCCTCCCCTCCTCCTCCCTTCCTACTGATGGAGAACTGTTGTATGCAGGAGTACGGGGAAGTGTCACTTCTCTCTTCCTCCCCTCCTCCTCCCTTCCTACTGATGGAGAACTGTTGTATGCAGGAGTACGGGGAAGTGTCACTTCTCTCTTCCTCCCCTCCTCCTCCCTTCCTACTGATGGAGAACTGTTGTATGCAGGAGTACGGGGAAGTGTCACTTCTCTCTTCCTCTCCTCCTCCTCCCTTCCTACTGATGGAGAACTGTTGTATGCAGGAGTACGGGGAAGTGTCACTTCTCTCTTCCTCCCCTCCTCCTCCCTTCCTACTGATGGAGAACTGTTGTATGCAGGAGTACGGGGAAGTGTCACTTCTCTCTTCCTCCCCTCCTCCTCCCTTCCTACTGATGGAGAACTGTTGTATGCAGGAGTACGGGGAAGTGTCACTTCTCTCTTCCTCCCCTCCTCCTCCCTTCCTACTGATGGAGAACTGTTGTATGCAGGAGTACGGGGAAGTGTCACTTCTCTCTTCCTCCCCTCCTCCTCCCTTCCTACTGATGGAGAACTGTTGTATGCAGGAGTACGGGGAAGTGTCACTTCTCTCTTCCTCCCCTCCTCCTCCCTTCCTACTGATGGAGAACTGTTGTAGGCAGGAGTACGGGGAAAGTGTCACTTCTCTCTTCCTCCCCTCCTCCTCCCTTCCTACTGATGGAGAACTGTTGTATG